CTATATTGGAATATATACCATATATACAATGTGGGCCCCCAAGATAGCTAAGTTGGTTCATAACTCCAATAACTATGGTTTATGGTACTTATAACTATAGTATTCATGGGGTTTATAAACCAACTTATAAGTGGGGGGCCCCACATTGTACCATTATAATGAAATTCCCAACCAGAACATCTTTACCAAGCCCTGCAATTTGATTTGTCAAGGCACAGGGAGGCATCCAACTTCCGGGTGCTGCCCTGATGCAATCGGATCACCTTCGCCTCGATGCGGTCCTCGGCCGGAACGAGCGACGCTCGTGCGAAGCCGGGGCGAGAAAGGACAGGGAGATTTTACGGCTGGGAAAACCATAGGAAAACCACAGGAAACCCCCTGTAAATGGAGCTTTTAAATGAGAAAAACATAGGAAAATCATGGAACATCACCCACAAATCATGTAAATGGAGGTTTTAACAGGAAAATCATGGGAAAATTTGAGGCTTTTTGCATCTCATATCTTTGATGTATGGTGATTTCATTGATGTTAGGAAAATCATTGATACATGGGATTCAATGAGAATTTATCTGGTAATTTGTGCTCAAATCACCAGGGAAACATAGAAAAATCATAGGAAAACCATGGGAAAATGGGCATTTCCATGGGGATTTATAGCTGATTTATGATAGCTATTGAAAATGGCCCCGTCGAAATAGTGAGTTTTCCCATGAAAAATGGTGATTTTCCATAGTTGTTTGTATGTTTACCAGAGGGTATACATGAACTTTTCTGCTATGTTAAATTACTGGAAAGTATCATATTTGTCTCAGAAATTATACAAACACATATGGACAAATACGGTGTCTTCTTTTGACAAGGAAACTGATACGAGAAACTGAGAATTGGAGGAAATTCTGGAGGACATTCTGGAGGAATGTATTAACTATATAGTGTCTAATCATCAATTGTATCATCAGTTCTCACTGTTACCACTGTCATTATCATTGTTATCATGGGTTTAGTCATTAATGTTACTATATTCATATGTAATTAATAGTCATTATAGTAGTAATACGCATAGTACCTATATGTACCTATTGTCATTAATTATTCTTATATAGGTTATTAATTACTATGCGAATGCTGGCCAGCAAAATCCGCAAGCTCCTGGAAACTCCTATTAGGAGGTGGCAAACCCCGAGGAGCACAGTCCAAAAAAACTGTAAGAAGCTTCAAAGTGGGGCCCCCGTTTACGAAATCGCGCAGTCAGTGAACATAACTCCAACTTCACTATGGTTTATGGTACGCAAAGAACTATACTTACTGGGGTTTATTAACCAACATAAACCAACATTCACATCACTGGGCCCCACATTGTACAAATAAATACTGGTGGTTTTTCGCCCTACCCCTCTGAAAAATGATGGAGTGAAACTCAGTTGGGATGATGACATTCCCAATGTACAGTAAGGGGGAAGTCATAATGGCGCCATGTTCCGCACCAACGAGATATGGAAAAATCACCATGTTTTTTCTCCAGGAAACTGATCGAGAAATGGTGGGCTTTGTCATGAAATATTGGATATGACAGATATGATGTAATTAGTCAGGATAGTCCTGCCAGAAGTCACACAAATAATGTATATATATATATATATATACCAGGATGTCCAAACAAATATATATATATATACACCAGAATCTCATTTTTTAAAATTCATTAGCCACCCCTTTGAACGTGCTGGTATATATATATATTATCATACTTTTGGATGTAAACTTAGTGTGCTTAATATTGCTACAACTAGAATTAGACGGTTGTATAATATTAGTCGATTCATGACTATTAGCCGGATGATGACTAATATATTTTCCTTTGTGTATATGTACTATGCATGTGTATATGCTGTATATTCAATTATATTATATATAATTATATATATACATATTATTTGTATTTCTCTTTCAAATGGCGATGTTTCTATTTATTCCCGAGTTTTTTGAAGTTCTTATTGCAACATCCAGTTTCATGACAAACACTAGACCCACTAGACAGCACATGCCATCCTCCGCCTGCCAAGCATCCAAGAAGTCTTGCGTCAGCTTTGGATGCAATGCTTTCTGTGCATCGGGCATCACATGGAAATTCACCAGCAAACAGCTGCGCTCATCGTGCTGTTGAAGCCTGCAGAGATCTACAGGGTGGAATGTGCAGAAGTCGTATGTCGCTGACAGCACCGATATAACTCTGGTTATGTGGGCTATCTATTACCCATGCACGATGAAGCAGTAGGGTCAATGTATATTGAAACATGTCCTCATTTTAACGTGTTATCCAAAACAATCCATTGCTTTGCGGGTGTATATCATCATGGCAGGCAGCTATCATGGCAGGTCCAGCTACGTGTACGTATGTACTATATGCAAATCCACATGCTGGACAATAATGTATATTGTACATATGATCTGTTATGTTAATGTAGCATTTTGAGGTTACACTTAAGGTCAAAAGAACGTGTTTTTCCGTCCCAATTTAGTTTCAAAAAGTTACCATGTCTGATAACAAAAATCACATTAACATCACCCTCATCCAAATTTAATCGGTGAGAACACATATTAAGAAACAACACATAAATCAATCACGCTTAAATCATCATTTAAAAATCTATGTGGTTCCGTGCTGAAGAACATTAAATCCACGAGGCTCCATGGTTGATGTCGCCATACATCAGATTGTTGGTTATCTATCCCACTATTAATACCCCACATAGATCACCCTTATTCATACTGCGTCTATACCCTTATAATCACAGAAAAAATGGTTGGTTTTCCCCCTCAACTGTTGATTCGGGTTGCTCCCCCCCAGATAGTGTCGACGATACGAGGTGGGGGAAATTCATGGACGAGCATAGGTACAATTTCCTCCGCCTGGTGGCAATGATTGACTCTATTGACCTGATTTTGGGGTGCCTGGGGCTTGAAATATGGTGATTTACCATGATTTACCCAGTAGATGGGATATCATGGGATATCATGGGATATCATCAACTGATCGTGGCTGGTTTCCCTCATCAGCTTGATTTCCCCAACGGGCAAAGCCCTCACTTACACATACCAGATTTCACTCACTTGCACATTCTCACTCACTTACACATTCCAGCAACAAAACATCAATCACTTACACATTCCCAGCACCAGGGGATGGGGTGGGGATAGGATGGGAGAATAGCATTCCAATCACATGGCATACACTGACAGTCCACACACAACCACGCCACGCGCATCATCATAGACAAGTAGATGTGCATGTCCACAAATATCGGAATGTGCAAGCGAGGAAATTTCGGCATGTACAAGGCTCGCCCCCCACACCGCTGGTCGAATCACCATTCAATCACCATTTTACCTCATTAAGATTGCCATTTTGGGAGCCACTTCTCTGCGGAAGAGGGAAGGAACAGGAAAGGAAGAGGGAAGGAAAGGAGGAAAGTGTCTGTTTGTGGCCTGAGGCTACTTCTTGATACTTTTTGAACAAATGGGTATCGCTGAGGTATCGCTACAGGTTTTGCACATTTCGCCTATTGCATCGCCGCGGCCTTGTATAGAAAAACCTCAGATGTGGACATGATAGGCAATTAAAGGTATCGCTCTTGGGGGGTGTATCGCTACACAATGTTTTCCAGGCCCTATCTGCATAAGTGGCCTATCATGATCTACGAGAATTTTGACCGTACCTTTTATCTTTTGCTAATGGGCTTTGTAAACCAACAAAAAAAACTTAGCAAAAGAAAGCCCAAAAGATAAACGTGGTAAGATATGACCGTGCCTTTTATCTTTTGTAAACCTTCCCTCTGAGGTTATCAAACGTGGCAAGGGAAAATCCCATGGGATTTTCTTTAGGTGACCTGGTTGGTATCACCTGCAGATGGTGGGGCCCAACCCCGTGCTGACGAAATCGTGATACGTAAATTACTATAGTTAATAACCAATAGGTGTCATAAACTATAAATAGTTCTGGATACCAATTACTATAGTTGTTAACGGTTTATAAACCAACGTATAATTATCATCCATTATCATCCATTAGTGTCCATTATTATTCTATTAGCCAGTATTATTAACTATGGTTAATAACTCCAATTTCACTATGGTTCATGATACTTATTACGATAGTATTCATAGGGTTAAGAAATGGCTAAGTCAGTTAAAATAACTCCAATAACTCACTATGATTTATGGTACTCATTACGATAGGTGGTATACCTACCCCTCTGAAAAATATGAAAGTCAGTTGGAATGATGACATTCCCAATATATTGAAAAACAAAAAATGTTCCAAACCACCAACCAGTAGTGGCACTTTAATGATATATAATTCCCATGATTGGGCCAGTTAATACTTTAATTATGGTAGTTATGGTACTCATAACTATAGTCAATCATATATTGGTTACACTATATTGGAATATATACCATATATACGATAGTTAATAAACAAAAAACAATAGTTTTCATAGGCTTCAAAAACACCAATTCCCATGATTGGGCCAGTTAATGCATGTTAATACTTTAATTATGCTAGTTATGGATAGTTATGGTACTTATAACTATAGTGGATAATAGTGTTTAAAAACAATTTATAACCAATAATTAACTACCAATTACACTAGTTATAGATGGTTGATAACCATTATAACTATAATAATAGTTAGGGTTTATAAACCAATTTATAGCGTGTGGGGGCCCTCTCGCCTCGAGGACTTCCCCATGACCTTGGCCGTGGCCTGACCACAGCGCAGGCGTTCGCCCTGCGTCAAGCTGGTCTGCTCCAGTGAGACCTGGAGGACCTGCAACGGAGTTCCAGCAGCAAAGATGGTGATTTTATGGTGGTGTTTATTTAAGTGGTAAAACACCATGAAAACCATGAACAAATGGTGATTTTATAGAGTTGGGGCTCAAAGAACCTACCAGCGGGTCCAACGGTGCCTGCTGAACCTTTGAGGGAACCGGTGTTGCAATGGCTGACTACGCTCCCAGCTTTCGAGCACTGCAGGGTGGGGAGCGCATTAACTGCGTTGCCTCCATGGTAACCTATGATGTCTCCACTGTCAATCACCTCATGAGTTCAGTGGTTAGCAAGGACATGTTTGCTTTTTCGGGCACCATCCCCTATGGTAAACTGACGTACACCTTGCTGAATGTCCGGGTTGCTCGACCGATGCCCAGGCCACTCTTGGTAGCAGATGAGGAATCCCGATTGCTGCACCATGATGCGTGCACATGGGATAGTGTTCGCGAAGTGATTGAACTTTGTGCAGGTTATGGAGGTCTTGGTCAGGGCCTTCTCACAACTGGTTTTTCTCCCACTGTTTGCTGCGACATGAACCCGTTGATGAATGATTTGTACAAAGCCCAGATGCAGATTCCAGCGGTTTGCGGTGACATTAGCAAAGTCTCAACAATTGCAGCTTTGTGGAATCACTGTCCTCGGTCCACAACCCTCAGCTCCGGAGTGTCTTGCCAGCCATACTCCCAGTTGGGAGATGGCAGAAGCGGTGATGACCCGAGGGCACAAAGCTTGCCGGCCACCTTGGCCTGTGCTCACTATTTGCGGTCTGTGGTGGTGATCATTGAGTGTGTCGAACCGGCACAGGCAGACGCATTCGTGATGGGTACCATCCGCCAGTTTTGCCAGAAAACCGGTTTTCATCACACTGAGGCTATCCTGAGGCTTCAGCATGTGTGGCCGTGTGCACGAAACAGGTGGTGGTGCATATTGTCGGCACCAGCCTTAGGCCCCATCAGGATCAAGCCTTGGCCCATTTTGCATGATTGTACACTGATCAAACATGTTTTGCCGTACATCATTAGGTGGCCCTTTAACCATGAGAAGGAATTGGAACTCCTGTCCCATGAAATTGAAGCCTTTCAGGTTGATCATGAAGATGGATGCCCCTTTCTCATCAACCGCAATGGGGTGCTTCCCTGTCCATTACATGCCTGGGGGTCTCAACTTCGCTCGTGCCCTTGCAAATGTCGGTCAGGTCCTTTGTCTAGCCAACGGCTCCAGCAGCGAGGCCTATTTGGGGTTGTGGTCAAATCTGCCTTGGATGGGAAGGGCGTGAGTCGACCCAGGCACATCCACCCAAATGAATGTGGCATTTTGGTTGGACAAGACCCCACAATTGACTTTGGGGAACATCCCTTGCTCACATTGTCAGCAGCCGGACAGATTGCATCTCCGCTCCAGTCTGCATGGATTGGGTCACATGTCATTGGCCATTTTGAAGAGTTGCAAAGAGGCATCCGGCAGTTTGAACCACTTGACCACCTTCAAGCCTTACGAACCATTTTGATGGCCAAAAGTCAGGCCATTTGGCCATTTCCTGATCAGCTGAGGGCGCATGAACATGTTCAGGACATCCGACGATGGGAACCATTTGTTCTTGATAGGTATGAAACCATTCTTGCATCCGAGCAGTGGGATTTCCTCATGACCGAGAAGTGCCTTGCCAGTGTCCTCCGTCAGTTGAGGGATGAACCAGGTCCTGGGCCAGCAGCATTTCCCAATTTTGGTCTCATGCAAGTTGACCATGACGGTAGAATGGACACTGTCAGTGTCACAACTGAGGAACCAGAGCCGGAACTTTTGCCTGTGCAGCCTGAACTGCCTCGTTTTCATGTTGTCCGTGTCCCTCAAAGTTGTGCTGCAGTGTTGTACCCGCCAGATGTGTCTGTTGTCCATGTCCGTATTGGTCCCAACACCACAGTTCAGCAATTGCTTGAAGCCGAGAGCCAATTGCACGGTTTTGAATGGTCTAGTGTGACAGCGTACAAGAATGATGGCACTCAGCGGGCGCTTAATGAGGTCATTGTCCCAGGTCAGATGGCTCAGATTTGCATTGTCCCACATCCGTCTGTGAGTCCGATTGTTCCCGGTCGGTCTGTTTGTGGTGGTTTCCCTGGGGTCCTTGGCCAAGGACCTTTGCCAGCTACACCCGTCCCAGTCCCAGCCATGTCCACTTCCGATCATGTCCTGAGTCTGCGTCTCCCAGGCCTGCCACCTGTCATGCCATCACTGCTGCCGTTTCCCCTGTCTGAGTTTGAATTGTCGCCTGAGTTTCATGTCCATGCTCGTCCAGGTGGTTCCGTCGGTCAACATGCACACAACCCTGCAGGTCCTTGTCCAGGGGATAACTCATGTGATGTAACTCATGTGAGCGAAGCGGGTAGATCCCCTGTCACAACCTTGAATGTTGATGCAGACATGCTTACACCTGCCACCACAGCTGGGGAATGTGGGCTACTCCCCTTCAAATTGCCCACTGCGCACAATGATGATCATGCTGAAACGCTGGATCAGACCCTTGACACTGAGGGCCCTGTGAGCAAGACAGAGGCCGCTGCCCTGGTGCCCAGCGATGGGGCTCCAGTTGAACACCTTGCGATTGCATCTGTGGTGCCTGCAGGGAACGAGTCGAGCCATGGGGAATATGGGCCACTCCCCTTCAAATTGCCCATACCTGAAGAGTTCCAAAGCCTGAGTGACCCTTTGCAACAGCCGGTAGTGCCGGGATGCCATGCCAATGATCGAACAGGAGGCTCTGCTGACTCACCGGAGATCATATCCCCAAGGATCAATCTTTGTCCGTTGACTGCGCTTGATGCCGAAAGTTTGATGCGATTGGGGTGCTCGCACTCCACCACACAAGATGCTGTCGCCACATTGCTGCACCAGGTCATCACCACTCATGACAGGTGTACCATTTTGCAGAACCAAGGCCCTGTTTGGGCCGATGATGAAGTTCGTTGGCACATGACCATGATCCTTGAGTCCATGCCACCACAGGTAGCTGCCAATTTTTCCCCCCTTGGGATTGCCATGGTTGATCCCCTGTTGTTTGACGGATGGGTTGCAACGTCCGGGGTGAATTGTGCAATTTGGATCCAACAGCATTGCCCTAAACCTGGGGTATTGATCACGGTCGCACGAGTCTGCAATCATTGGGTCCCTTTTGTCATGATCCCTAGGGGTGGTGTTCTACATGTTCATACATGGGACGAACAGGCGAGTGATCATTCAGGTTTTGACCGAGTTTTTGCATGCATTGCGCAGGCGATGGGCCTTGAAACACACCAGAATGTGCGATTGGTCCGTATGTTTCCCATGAATGAAGGCTGCGGTGCCATGGCCATTTCCTACATTGCATACATGCTCATGGATAGGATGTTGCCAGCAACGCCAGCAGATGTTGTTGCAGTTCATGAGGTACTCCGTCATCGCTTTGCCCAAACTATCCAACAGCGAGAAACATGTGTGAAGCCATGGCAGTGGGCCAATGGTCGCACTAACACTGTCACTGCGCTTCTCAGTACCTTGGTAGGGCTTCCCGAGCTGCCAGTTGCTGCTGCCACCGAATCTGCCTGTCCAGGGGTAGTTGGATCCCACATGCCTGTGGGTTGTTTTGAAACATTGGCGACCCATGAAGATGCTGGGGAATGTGAGCAACTCCCCTCCAAATTGCTCACTGGCACCTGTGTGCTGCCAGAATGGTGTCGCAACGGGGAATGTGGGCCACTCCCCTTCAAATTGCCCACGGTACATGCTGATCATATCTCCAGTAGGGGTCCCCTGCACGATGTCATCGGTACGGCAGGGGACAAACTCTTCAGTGCTGTGATGAGCAATCAGCCCATTGATGTTGCCCGTGACCAGGCCACACCCTTCTGCTCAGCCAGGTTCCCAATGCCAGTCATGCCCCAGGGTGTGGATGCCGTATCATGCATGCCGAATGAAGCAGAGGGTCTTGCAAGTCACTGCCCGGTGATGACTGACCATACTGAGGTTCATGCCATGCTGCAGACGGTCATGCCCACTCATGTTCGTCAGGCACTTTTGCACACCCAAGGGAGTCTTTGGGCAGATGATGAAATCCGTTGGCACATGCAATGGTTGGCCAACATGCACCCTTCACAACGAGTGCAGGCAGAGGAAGGCCAGGTTGCTTTCATTGACCCACTGTTGTTTCATAGTTGGATTGCAACCCTGGGCAGGGGCTGTGACAACTGGGTGTCGCGGCATTGTACCACGGCAACAGTCTTGCTTACAGTGGTTTCGATTCACAATCATTGGGTGCCATTTGTCCTGATTCCAGCTTCCAATACTCTCCACATCCACACATGGGATGCCAAGGAAGTAGATCATGGTAGTGTTGAGAGGGTTTTTGCATGCATTGCCGAAGTGCTCGGCCTGAGCACATATCAGATCTCAAGACAAGAACGCCAATTCCACATTGAACATGGATGTGGTCCACTTGCGATTGCCTTTCTTGCTCACATGCTTGGGAAGACTGACCTGCCAGTGTCAGTTGCGGAAGTTAATGAATTGCATGCCAACCTGCGCAGCCAATTCAGCATGGCACTTGCTCAGACCATTGAGTGCCCCCAACCAGTGCAGTGGGCTAATGGCCTTGCAACCCAAGCTGAGAAAGACCTTGAGCCGGTGCTTATCCAACATGGAGTTCCGCGTGAACATGCTGCTAGCAGAGCTAAAGCAGCGGTCCGATCCATAGGAGCGCAGCCAGTTCTTGATGCCTTGGGGTCCCGGATTCCGTGGAAACAATTGAAAACTCTTGGAAACCAGGTGAAGTTTCAGTTCCTGTTGCCTGCTGAGCTGCAAACCAAGGTTGAATCGGCAGCAGGTCAAGGCTCCATTGGTCGCCCCAAAGGTGGCAAAAAGAGCAAGAAAGTTCCGCAGGAAGAGGCCCCACCAGCCCTTGACCCATCCAAATTTGCGATCTCCCAAGGTGTCTTTCAAGCAGAGTCCCAATTGATGACCCAACGAACCCTGAAGGAAGTTGGCCCGACTGCTGAAGGTGTTGTCATTGTGACCATGGCTGAAGCCGCCCCATACCTGCAGCAAGGCACCCGGGTCTCCAATTTGCCGCTTGCTCTTCTGATTTTGCAGAGTACCTTGAGTGAGATTCAAACGTCGCTTCCACACCAAGCCGTGACGGTGCCCTGTCATTGTGTGGTCAATCACGAACCCATGCTGATTGACATGATCATGGTTCAGGTAGGGACTGGTGTTGTTGAAAAGACTCAGGGACGACAGGCTATTCACATTGACACCGTTGATGTAGGCACACTTCGGCTCACCGTGTTTCGTGATGAGATCGAAGGTAGTTGGGAACGTCTCATGCAGGGCCCCATGAAGTATGTGGTACATCACCTTCCATTGCTCCGTCTCTGCCGAGAAACTGACTGCAAGTGCCCCCACTGGCACAACAAGGAGGGAGTGGACACTAAAGATGCCCTGGTTGATGTGTGGCGCCGCCAGTACATGCGCAATGGATACAAGCCAGAACCCCCAAGTAGTGCAACCATGTTTGGGGTCAGCATCCGTGTCCCTAGTTGCCTTGTCATGCCGTTGCTCCGGATGAGCAGCGTTGCCGGCATCTACATTGAGCCCCGGACCTTGGACTCCCGGGCGATCCATGAAGATTATGCCATTGTCTGGCTTGCTCGCCACACCAAAGCTGAGTTGAATCATCTGTGCCAGACGAACCCGACGGCCATCGGGCTCGCCAGGGTGGGAGACCGGATTGGTCTTCGCACACAAGCTGTTCATGCGAGTGCCCTTTCCAAAGCAGTAAGACCGGACCAGGTCTACCTGTCGGCCGGACCAAAGCAGCAGTTCCTGGCCGGACCGTTCCCCTTTGGGACAGACCGCGGCAGCCTGGCCAAAGCCCTGCAGCAGATATCATGGGAGGCTCGACCATTGCAGCCATTGGCCTCCATTGACAACAAGGGTGCCATGTGGCTGATTCAGGCCACTGATGCTCCACCTGCGTCGCTGCTCACCATGAGCCATGGTGATGTCATGATATCGCGCCACAAGGGCCCCAGAGATGCCAAGGAGACCAAGGCCAAGCCAGTTGCCACCACTGCAACAATTGCCCTCTGCAATGCCAAGCCCACTTCGACCAAAACTCCTGATCCTTGGAGTACTGCTGATCCCTGGGGTGGCTATGCACCCTCAACTGTTAGTCAAGGTGATGCTTCTGCTAGCCTCCAACAGTTGGAAGCTAAGATTCAACAAGCGGTCTTGGCCAGCCTGCCGGCCAGCTCCAACCAAATGGAAGTTGATGACATGCCAGATCGTGTACAGGCACTTGAGCAGCAGGTCCAAACCATGATCCATAAGCATGCCCAGCTGGAAGCGTCTTTCACTGACCATTCCGCACGCCAATCGGCGCAGATTGCCTCAGTACAAACCCAAATGCAAAACCAAGGATTGGAATTGCGAGGGCACATTGAATCCCAACAGCAGAATCTGCAGGCGATGTTTGAGAGCCAGATGTCTCAGATCAGAACCCTGCTGAAGCGGCCCCGTGACGACCATGAGTGACGGTGTGGGGTGGCTGGCTGTTTTGGTGCCGCTGTGATGTTGCCGTCACTTTTGACGAGTTTTTTCATGAGTGGCCCCATTGGCCTGCTGAACCCCATGACCTTTGTCTTGTTTTGCATGGGCATTTTGCTCTGTTGTGCATCCAGTTTCCACAAGAGATCCAATTTTTCTAGTGTACGAGCTCCACGTTTCACACGTTTTTTGTACATCCTTCTGGTGTTGTCCGGTGTCCGCTATGGGGAAGCGCTACATCCTGGCCCACGTTCTCGAGTGACTTCACAGGCCTTCTGCATTGGGACCTTTAATCCATCAGGATTGGCGGGGAAAGCACAGGTGATTAATCAATACCTGCAGCACGGTGACATTTGGTCAGTTGCAGAAACTCACCTGTCTACCAAATCTGTTTCATCTTTTCGTAGGGGCCTTCGAGTCACACAATCACCATACCAGTACCTGGTTACTGGTCACCCTGTTCCTGTACGTGCCCATTCCCACACGTCTGGTGGATGGAAAGGCGTTGCCACCTTGTCCCGGCATCCAACCAGAGCTTTGCCTGTTTCCTGGGACCATGATGTCAGTGCTACAAGCCGAGTGATGGTGACTGCAACTCTTCTCCATGACATGTGGGTTACAGTCGGCACTCTGTATGGTGAGTCAGCTGGTACATGGCACCCTCACTATTTGTCCCACAATGACCAGCTTTTGCGTGCAGTGGCCACTCAGGTTTGCTTGTACTCCACTGGTTTGAGGGTCGTGGCAGGAGACTTCAACCTCAAAGAACATGATGTTTCTGCATTCCAAATACTTGAGGCTGCAGGTTTTCGTGACATCCAATCCATTGCAGCTGACAGGTGGGGCCTGCCGATCCAAAACACATGCAAGTGTGCCACTAGGGTTGATTACATGTATGTGTCCCCTGAATTGCTGGCGCTGCTCACACATGTCGAAGTAATAGATACTATTTGGCCAGACCATAGTGTCCTCCAAGCGTGGTTCACAGGATCTGTGCGGGAAATCCCTAGATTCGTTTGGAAGCAACCTCAAGCCGTGGACTGGCCCCAGTTCCAGGTAGCCCCGGTGCAACCATTTGCTCCTGGCACAGCCACTCGGGTGTATGCAGACATGTGGCATGAAATTGAGGACACTGCTTCTGCCAGCAGTGCCCGCCCAATTCCCCAAGCATGCCGCGGCCGCGCGCAAACCCTTGCACCCAAGCAAGTTTTGGGCCAGGCCCATGCTCCCCTGAGAGCTCCGCGAGCTGGAGACCTTGCCCCGTCCTATTTAGGAATGTCCTTGCAGCATGCTCATTGGTATCGTCAAGCCCGTAGGTTGCAGTCCTATGTGCGTTTTGCCCGCACACGCAGGGACCAAGCTGATCCATGCCATGCAGCTAATGTTTGGGGTGCAATTCGTCGAGCCAAGGGTTTTGAGCCAGATTTTGCCGCCTGGTGGTGCACCACAGAATTTGCAGTCCATGGGGCTCCCAGTGAATGCCCTGCCACGCCTCCAGCAGCTGACACTGCCGAAGCCATTTATGCCTCTTTTGTGCTTGCCTTTCGAGCCTTGGAGAAACGACTGCATACCACCTGTAGAGCAACTGCCAAAGCCAAGCGCCTTGCATCTCCTCAGCTAATTTTCCAGGACATCCGTGGGGTGGGTGTTGATAGTGTTGATTTGTTGATGCAACCGGCCCAAAGCAAAATTTGTCAAGTTGACGAAGACACCTTGTGCCTCCATTTGGATGCAACGTGCAACTGGGATACCACCAAACCGGTTTTTGTGAATGGCCAGTCATTCAACATCCTTCATCATGAAGAGACTTGGCTTTGGGTTGATCGCCTTGTGCCCAATCTTGTAGGGTCGGTTTGCACGCAGGTGCGACTGCTTGGTGCCCTAGAAGAGCTTTTTGATGAGTTTCGCCAATCTTGGTCGACACGTTGGCAGCGTCATGCACACGTTCCCCTGAGCCAATGGCAGGACATTCTGGAGTTTGCACGAAAATATGCAAGGCCCATTGCCTGTAGCTCACCCTCTATGACCTTGCAAGACCTCAAGCTTGAACTGAAACGCAAGAAAGCCAAGACCTCCCGCGGCCTTGATGGTGTAACCTTGACAGACTTGCGAGCAATGCCCGATGGAGCTTTGAGCAGCATGTGTCAGTTTTACCAGCATGCCGAACAATGTGGTGAATGGCCAGCACAGTTGACAGCAGGGCGGGTGGTCTCCTTGGCCAAATCTGCCCAGCCTCGCTCAGCGGCTGATTTTCGGCCAATCACAGTACTCAGCTTGGGATATAGGCTGTGGTCATCCTTTCACTCAAGGAACATCATTGCTGCCATTGATGATTGGTTGCCTCCTGGTCTCCACGGTTCCCGTGTTGGAGGTCATGCAGGACAGGTTTGGCATTCCGTTTTGCTTTCCATTGAAGAGAGCCATGACTGTGGTATACCATTGGCAGGGGTCGTTGGGGATATAGTTAAAGCATTTAACTGCCTCAGCCGCCCGGTCATTTTTGAGCTTGCCGGCATGTTGCGCCTTCCCATCCATGTCCTGACAGCTTGGGCTGGCTGTACCATGCAGATGGCCCGACATTTTGAGGTTCGTAACAATTTGTCCCCAGCCACCATGTCGGTCACAGGTTTTGCCGAAGGCGATGGCCTTTCAGTTTTGGCCATGATTCTTTTGGACTGCGTTTTGCATTGGTGGATGAGTGAGCTTAGCCCTGCTTGCCTCACTCTGAGTTACGTTGATGATTGGCAGCTGCTCATGAGGAACCCCCAACATGTTCCACTTGCCATGGACCGTCTTGAAGCTTTTTGTTCCAAGGTTGACTTGACGTTAGATAAACGGAAAACGTATGTCTGGTGCTTGTCTCCCGGAGGTCGCAAGTTTTTGAAAGCCAGTGGATATCGGGTTGAACATGGAGGGCGAAGCCTTGGAGCCCATCTCCAACTCACCATGCAACACACCAACCAGACACTCCAGGCTCGTGCCAATAGCTTGCATGACATGTGGGACCGCCTTCGATTGTCGCCCTGTCCCTATAAGCTGAAGGTCCGGGCCCTGACAGTGGCTGCTTGGCCACGCGGTCTTCATGGAGTAGCATCAACGGGCATTGGAAAAAACATCCTGCATCGTTTGCGTTCAGGTGCTGTTCGTGGTTTGCAAGCAGACGGAGCTGGTTGTAACCCGTGGATTCAGTTAGGCTTGATTGAACATCCCTCGTGTGATCCTGGCTTCTGGGCCGTTGTCCAGACCCTCCGAAGCGTGAGGGACTGTGCTGCTTTGGATTATCTTCAGCCAGTCCTGACTCGTCTTGCTTGGGGGGGTACCGAGATGCCTGCTAACTCCATCACACACACTTTGCTATCGAGGTTGCAGGTTTTGGGATGGTCGGTTCGTTCTGATGGTCGACTTGAAGATTTCTTGGGTCCCTTCTGTCTGTTTGATGCCAGTTTTCATGAGATTGAGTATCGAGCGCAGTTGTCTTGGCAAGCTGTGGTTGCTCAACAAGTTAATCACAGATCTGGCCTTCAGAACTTGCACCAGGCCGATGTTCATGGCACCCGCCGGTGGCTGGCCAGCCTACATAGGGAAGATGCAGGTATTTGTCGGAAGCTGCTCAATGGCGCCCACTTCACCCGTGAAGCGCAACAACATTGGGAGGAGACTCATGATGGAGTTTGCCAGTTTTGTCAGTGTTCTGACTCCAGGTACCACAGGTTTTGGCAATGTGAGGCGTTTGCTCACCTGCGCGCAGGGATGGATTCACATGTGTGGGCGATGGTCCCATATTTGCCTGAGTTTTTGACTTGCTATGGATGGGGAGTACGCCCTGCCAATTGGACCCAGTACCACCAAACACTGCTGGCCATTGAGGAGACACCGACTGACATCACAACCGTCCAACCAACTGCTTGTGATGAGTGGCTTGACCTTTTCACTGATGGTTCGTGTCACTATCCTACCCAGTCATGGCGCCTCGCCAGTTGGGCGGTAATCAGTGCTCCAGTTCAACCAGACGATAGTGGATGCAAGTCCCAGGTCCTTGCTGCAAGCCCGCTCCCAGGCCTTCAGCAGACTGCATTCCGGGCTGAGATCCGGGCGGTTTTAGAAGCGATTCGTATTGCCAAGCAGAGCCACCGCAGAGTCCGCATCTGGTGTGACTGCCAAGGGGTTGTTTCCAGGGTTCGTGCTCTTTTGCAAAAGCAGTGGAAGCCTCCACCCAATGGGAGGCACTCTGATTTGTGGCACTCCATCCGTGCCGCCTTGGAGGAAGTCGGAAGGCACCGGGTGCTTATCACCAAGGTTGCTGCCCATCAGGACTATGACATTTGTACCTCAGCACTTGAATCTTGGTGTTTTTTGCATAATGGATTGGTTGATCATGCTGCGCGGGTCGCCCATATGTTGCGACCTCATTCTTTTTGGGATATTCACCAGAAACTTGTCCAGAACCAGATCTTTGCAGCACACATCAATGCCCAGGTGCGAACAGTGCAGCTTGCGATTAGCCGAGCAGTGGTGTATCACCAGCAAGCAACTGAGGATGTTGGTGAAGGCATGGAAGAGCCTCCATCAGCTCCCCATAACCCATGTTCCATGCGGCCCGTCTGGACGGCCCCACCGGAAGTGACATGGGTTTCAGGTGAGCTTTGCAGTAAGTACGGTGAGCGTTTGGTGAAGCAAGTCACACGATGGTTTTTGCAAGGAGTTCGCTCCGCTACCACATCAGCGGAATGGACATCGTTTTACCAACTGTATGCAGATTATCAACTTTGCACAGGGGAAGGAGGCCCATTGCGCTTGGATCGATGGGTGGACCCACAGACTCGGCCAGCAGCCAGTCTCTTGGGTTTGTCATTCAAATTGCGATGTAGATGGTTTACACACCTTCTCAAGGATGTGGTGAAGACTTGGCAGATTGAGCTCCACCACCAATTTGTGCGACCAAAATCTGAATTCCTACTGCTCCATACATCATGTGCATGGCTTCCATGGCCCATTGACCGCCTTGATCGGTGTGAACAGTGGTTTGGTAGTTGTTTGATTCAGCCGGCACGGCGAGATGGTCGAGTCCTACATAGACTCCCTACTCCGCGACGTGATCCGGATATGCCTGAGGTGGCAACGTCCTACCTTGAAATCCGATAATATGTTGGATTTCTGGCCATTTCCGCAGCTGCTGACTTGGCGAGACATCCAGGAAACAGGAAACTGGTGATTTTATAGTGGTTATAACTGGTGATTTTATGATGTTTGTGCCTACGGGTTGAAAACCGAACCAGCGTTTTGCATGCTTCTATGTCTTTCATGGGGTTAACGGGGTGGGGTGGGGTGGGGTGGGGTAATAACGTTCATTTGCACTGCCTGACATACATGATGCTACGCTGCTGTACGTCTTCTTGCACGTCCTCACATACATGATGCTACGCCGCTGTACGTCGTCTTGCACTTCCTCACATATATGATGCTACGCTAGTGTACGTCGTCTTGCACTTCCTCACATACATGATGCAATGCTACTGTATGTCGTCTTGCACTTCCTCACATATACGATGCTACGTTAGTCTACGTTAGTCTTGCTCAATGGCAAGATTTGGACGCATGTTCGCGCTTGGCAGTGGAGATGGGAAAACGGTTCCCACAAAAACCTCTCCAAGCTCACTGCAGCAATTGTGAAGAACACTTAGCGCAGAAAAAAAGAGGGTGCCGCTGAGGTTTTTTACATATCCAGTGAAAAGTACGCGCGTACTTTTTAAGGAAATTGAACTTTGAGAGAGATGCAAAACCACTGTGATTTGTGGTATGAAATCAATGACGAACACTGCAAACGTTGAAAACGCGGATTCGATAAACAACCCGCCGGGATGTTTGTGGTGCATTTATAGTGATTTTATGGTGGCTGAACTGGTAAAACACCATGAAAACTGGTGGATGTTTGATGAGATTTTTTGAATATTAAAAAAATGATGATTTAATGGGATTTCGGCAACAAAAATGGTGATTTAAACCAGCCATTCTATAGAATCTTATGGGAATTTAATGGAGTTCATGGTGATTTAATGGGATCTAAATCTGACTGGTGATTTCAGAGGATTTAATGATTTAACTGGCCAAGATGGGGCAAACCAACCAATCTAAGTAGATATAGTAGGGATGAAACGGGGATATGGGTTATTCTATTGAAGAAATTGCAAAGTGGTGCCCCGCAGTTCCTATAACCAAGTTGGTTTATAACCCACATAACTAGGTTTTATTGCAAATAAATAATAAATCTATAGTTGGACTAATTATGGACAGCACATAGTTGTATATTGTTTATAACATAGTGGATTTCACAAAGTTAGCAAATTGTTGTTGCACAACTCTGTTGTGGATATAACATACATGTTTAACATCACTATGATTTCATGGTGATGTACGGATAATGGATGGAAAACGGAGGTATGAAACAAATATAAGTGGCACTCTTACTGGGACATACGGGCCCCACATGAGAAAAAAAACATGTCTCTTACTTGTTGCATAGATGATGCATGGTGATACGTGTTTCCCCGAGGATATTTCAATGATAATTGGTGACACGTGTTTCTAATGAACAATCAACTGATATAATTGGAAATAAACAGGTACAATGTACATAGATATTATCATGGCCAATCTTGGATACCCTGCAAAAAAAACATCTTAGATGGTTCATAGATAATCCCATTGTTACCAAAAGACTAAAGGATTAGTTTCTACCCATCTAAGATTGACCTAGTTATATAAATCATGGATAAACAAAAAAACACATGATAAAAACCAAATGTGGATCAGTGACCCCAGAGAAAATTAGGTTCAAAAAGAGGTTTAGAACTGATCTGGAAACCGAACAAGGCCAGATCCAGTGTGAAAAACTCATCTAATTGGGACCTGTTTTTTGATGTTAGACTTGAACAATGATATTGAATGGGGGCGGCGAACACTCAATCTTGGAGACAACAAAGGTGTTTGTCTGGTTAGATTCATAATTGTTTAATACCAAGGTTTTAAGTTGTACTAAAGTAAGCATGCAAGCCAGAATAAGCCAGATATTGTTCCCATGTTCTCCCATCTTACTTGTTTTTGTGTTCAGCTGGCTAGTTAAGTTGTTCTATGAACGACAAAAACACTAGAGAAACCAATGACAACAAGCCAACCAAATGTTCACTCGAGCACCTAAACACACACACACGACAGTTCTGTCAAGGGGGAGCCGCACTTCTTTCAGTCACAACCGTTGCTCACTGGAATTCATGGCTATGGGCCATGGGTATCATCAAAGAAAGCTAGGAAAAGCAAAGCAAATCATACAATGTCATGTCATGTCTAGAGTGAATCTACACTGAAACTACACATACTGAAGCTGATCGTGGCAACTATTCCAATTTTTTTTGCTTAAACCCCCATAAATTTGGTACCACTATCAATCATGTTCAATCTAGGTGTGTCTTCATTGGCCCCAATTTTTACTAGTGTTGTCGCTAGTTATATGGGTGTGTCTGAAAGCAGGGGACTTCCGAAGCTGATGGTCAATCACCCTATTCCCTAGTGTTGGGGATACCCCATTTGCAGACACACTCAACTGTTTACTGGTTGGTGGTTTCAACCCCTCTGAAAAATACCAGTAGTACCGCACAAGGCGGTGGCATAAACCCGAGTTATCCTTAGTTTCAAACCAAGTTAGCTACGAATCTGTGGCATCACTTTATAGCTCCGGCAATCAAACGTGGCATGCTGGAAAATCTATCGTTCATTTCGATGAATTTCCCATTCAAACGTCCATTGAGTTTGGGGATTTCCCATAGTTTCCCATGATTTTCCATGATTTTCCCACTAAAACCTGCATCCAACACTGCATTTCTCACATTTTAACACCTTTTCCTATGGTTTTCCTATGGTTTTCACATCTTCTCACCCCAGCACAACGGCAGGGCCACGATTTTCCCGCAAACCTCGGCCAGCGCCAAGCGCAGCGCTCGCCTCAGCTCCGCGCTGGGCGCCGGGGATTGGCCGGCCAGCGGCAGCAGCAGGGAAGACATGAGGTGCGCCTGCATCGGAGATGTGGGACAGCTAATCCCCAGTAAGGATAGTTATAAGGTGGTGCCCCATAGTTAGCTAAGTTGGTTTATAACTCCAATAACTATGTTTTATGGCAAATATAAGTATAGTTAATGGGGTTTATAAACCAACTTATAACTGGGGGGCACCATAAACCATATCTAATTGGTGGTTTCAAGGTGATATATCTATAGTAGGATGGTTTATAACTCCAATAACTATGGTTTATAAGTGATATATCTATAGTTATTTGCGTACCATAGATGGGCCATGGGATTAACTAAATGGTTAGTAAGTGGGGATTTGTTACCGTATAACCCCCTAAATCCCAATGAAATAATCCATGGCTACTAACTAGTTAACTAACTCCATGGCCCATCTAAGTAAACCATATCTCATTGGTGGGTTCAACCCCCCTGAAAAATATGAAAGTCAGACTGGATCATCATCCCAACTATTGCGGAAAATAAAAAATGTTCCAAACCACCAACCAGATATAGTTATTGGAGTTATTAACCATAGTTTATAGATTGGTTCATAAACCATAGTAAATCTTTATTTGTCAGGTCCTTATCCAAATTTGTTGTTAACAGCCACTTGCTTCAGATGTTGGTTGCTCCAGTCATTTTCTCCAGTCATCACAAGGACCAAGTTCCCCCCAGGAAACTCACTAGGCACCCTGCCGATTTTTTTGCCGTTTAGAATTCACCATGATACTTACAATTCATCAAAATCTCATACAAGGTGGTGCCCAAGATAGCTAAGTTGGTTTATAAGTCCAATAACTATTGTTTATAGGTGGTATATCTATAGTTATTTGCGTACCATAAACATTCATAAACCATATAGTTATTGGAGTTTATGATAACTATTGGAGTTAACATGAGTTAACATCCAATAGTAAGTATAATCCCTTCCCCCTAATATAATATCCCCTGAAACGAAACCATGGTTTAGTAGGGATTTTCCACATAATTGGGACCATAGAAATGGGTTGTTTAATGTTAGTGTGATGGGATTAGTTATTTGCGTACCATAGTTGGTTGGGTGGTTGGTTGGTTTATACACCCAACCCAATGAATACTATAGTTATAAGTATCTGGGTAAATTGTAATAATTCACTAACCTGAAATAAGGCTATCTTTGGGGTGTTTCCCCTTACTAACCATGATTATAGTGAGGTCGCAGTGACGTCGTTATAATTTGCCCAGAAGTATAGTTATTTACGTACCATAAACCGTAGTAAAATTGAAGTTATTTGCACCAACTGAACGCTATCGACCGGGGGGCCCACTTAAAAATTCACAGGGCTATTTCAGCAGTAAATTCATGATGATTTGATGGGACTTCATGATGATTTAATGCGATTAAATACTGATTTAATGCTATGGTTGAATGATGATTTCATGGTGTATTGCCTTAAGATTTAATGGTCTGATTCAATGGGAAAACTAGAACAAGGTGAGGCTGCGCAGTTGTCTTATTTAAGGGGGTTTCCATAGTCATGGGGATACCCCAATAGCTGGATGGTTTATGATGGAAAATCCAAAAATAACATGAATAATGACTTGGGGTACCACCATTTTAGGAAACCTCCATTTGTATTTATTTGTTGCTTCAGTTTTACCGATGAACTACTTCGTGAAACAATGTTCATTATAGTATTATATCCTCCATGACGGGGGCCTCACCTTGTAGTTAAGATGTGCTAAGATGTGCTAAGATGTGCTAAGATTAGGTGAGAAAATCGGTGATTTCATGTGATTTCATGGGATCCAACCACCCCAAACTTTGGTGCTTCGCTGAGCCAATGATCGTTGGGTCAACTTTCCAACCACGCTTGGAAAAATAGGGGCGGAGGGATCAATCCAGAGACGGGAGAGCTGAGACTTAACTGCCAAAGATTGGGGAACATGTTCTGGTTGGTGGTTGAGCCCTACCCCTCTGAAAAATCTGAGTTCGTCAGTTGGGATGATGAAATTCCCAATATATGGAAAAATAATCCAAATGTTCCAAACCACCAACCAGTGTTGGATGCATATAACTCTTTCCAGGAAGTGCTTATGGAATTATGGAAAAGTTATAAACTTTATGGTTCACTTGAAAAGTGGCCAAAAAAAAACATGAACCCACAAAAAAGTGAAGTTACCAAGAGTGCTTTAAAATACGCAGAGAACTTCAGCAGAAAGAAACGTTGATTGTACCTACACGGACCAAGGATTTACCAGAAGTGGCGACGGTAGCAAATTACTGGGAACTTAAGATGCAAGGACATTTATCTATCCTTAAATTTTGACTCGATAGTCTATATAAAATTGGATTTGAGCCACACACATGTGGAATTTGGGGGTGTGACATGAACTACACTTCCAAAAAATACCCGCTTGATATATCATTTTAGGAAAAAATGAACAACATATCGCGAAACCCGTTTTTGCGAAGTCTCACTTCCATCATCATCATCATCATCATCATCATCATCATCACCATTATGTCCCACTATTGTGTGTTAATCACCATTATGTGTATGTAAAATTATATATACATATACATACATATATAATATATATAATAATATATATATATATTTATATATATAATTATATATATATAATTATATATACATATACCCAACCCATTGTGTATTTGTGTGTGTGTCCCCTTTTCTGGTTCGATTTCATTCATTTCATTCGGCATTTCTCGCCGAGGGAAGAGCCCATCAACTCATCGACCAATCATTCAACGATTTGCCGTGTTTTTTTTGTTAATATGGCTTAAGGTGAAACTCCTATGCATTGTTAGGTGAAATGTTGATGAAATAAGAAAATAACTCCTATTATTTTTTTGAAATCCCGAAATAAGAAAATACTAGCCAACTGACTTTAATAGATACAAAAAATATGGTTGGACATCCGCAACGGAATGTCTCCATGATTGGAATCCAAAGAATATTAACGCTACATCTTACATCATGGACAAAAAAAGGTATCTGAGATCTCGCCAATGTTTGCTTTTTAAATGTTGGAAACTATCTGGGTAAATTATTATAATTCACTAACCTGAATTAAGGCCATTTGGGGATGATTTCCCTTACTAACCATGATTCCAGTGAGGTCGCAGTGAGGTCGTTATAATTTGCCCAGAACTATATATATATATAACTATATTTACATATTATATGTATAACATGTATATATTGTACTAATGATATCGCGATATCGCTTCTCTTAGCTGTTCCAATATCTTCAACCTCACAGATCCAATCGATCTGTGAAAATGTCAACCCTGGATTAATAAACCCCAAACGGCTGTTTAATTGGGAGGGTACCGTTTAAGTATTAGATGAAATGACTATTGGAGGAGATCCCCCCTAATTATTAATTGGTAAACCATGGTTTATTAATCCGTGGTTGACATTAGCTGGTTAAACACCATAAATTTTAACATAAGCCAACATATAATAATTATGATGGTGAATCATAGATCATATCAGCTAAAAAAATCTAATTTGTATGTTTTTTAGCTGGTGAATGGGCTATAATTGTATAAATGATAGCAAAAGATTCACGTACTAGTTTGTATCTTAACCAAGGTTGTCCCAGTTCTCATCGCGTTCCCCATGAAGATAAAATCAACAAGGACTTCTCCACTTAGATGGGCCATGGAGTTAGTTAACTAGTTAGTAAATGGATTATTTCATTGGGATTTAGGGGGTTATACGGTTATATCATGTTATATCCCCACTAACTAACCAGGAATCGCGTTTTTCCCATGGCCCATCTAAGCATGCTCTGGCGTGAGTTCGTGCGCCACGCCTGTGCATGGCCGGACTTGGTCTGGCGAGTGGCCAACGGAGCCTCCGTCCACAGCAACTGCCTGCGTTGTGGAAATGGTTCACTGGTTCATTGGATGATGGAGATATCATGGGGATATCATGGTTACCCGCTGCTCATTTGTTACATAGCTATTGAACATGGCCATTGAAATAGTTGATTTACCCATTAATTAATAGCATGGTGATTTTCTTCCACTGTATCATGGGGATATCATGGTTAGATGGAGACAAATTATAACGGAAGATCATCCGATGGAGAAAAAATGATGGAATTGTTGTCGCCACCGGGTGTACTTAAATGCATAAAACCCATCATAAATACCATATGATGCATGATGCTGTTACTTTTCAACACCAACGTTTAGCTTCCAAAATGGCCTAGTAGTGTGTGGCCATCTTATAGTTGATTTACCAATTTAAAATGGATATGTTCCGTAGCTACGTAAACGTTTACCAAATGGTACTTGCAACGCAGCTGTGTTCAATTCACAGGATGAAACCAGTTGGAGGATGTTGATACCCTCTGGTTATGACTAACAGTTCGCCATGGTTTGTTGATGGCCCTAATCGAAATAGATGGTTTACCGTGGTTTACCGAACTTAAAAATGGGTGGATCTTTCCATGGCGAACTGTGAATGTCATAACCAGCTTGGGTACATTTCCCAGGGATCCAGCCTGATCCGTACCGTGATATTTCTGGCTGGGGGTATTTTTTATGAGTTGAACCTTCAGGAACTATGACTGGATCCCAGGGATTGGTAGTTTTTTATAGTTTTTTTCAGGTCCCAAAGATGCAAAAATGGTTTCGTATGGCTGGCATCCCTTGGATTTTTTGGGGCTTGTTTCAAGATTTTCTCTTGTACCTCAACTAGTGGTACCTAAGCCATGCAATGTCTCCTATGAAAAGGGATATCCAAAGGTTTCCAAAGGGCATTGTACTTCAAGTATGGCCCAGGTGAATTAGAGTTCTGCTCCAACAAGCACGGCAATCTGCATCTGGATTCTCCAATCCCCTGTTGGAGTCAACTTAAAATGGTGAAAAATCGAGTGGTCGCAGGGGGGTCGCAGCGCCAAGAGTTTCCCACACGAACCCCCCGGCCTCTCATCCCATCCCATCTCAGGCTGTCGCAACCACGGCTCCACTGGCTCCGACCTTTCTTCACTCAGGGAACGACCGGAACGCGTCCCCAGGAGGAAGAAGGTGGAGTCATCCACCAAATCTTCAAACTCCACGATGACGCCCTCCTTCCGAAGTTTCAGTGGGTGATTTCACGGTGATGAAAAACGGCCGGCGAGCGACTGAAAAATGATGGGGTAAGAGGAACGGTGAAGCATATTATTGCCATGGGGATTTAGCAAAAATGTCAGATCAAATCAACCATGATGCAGATTTATATAATGAAAAAAAATGGTTGATCAATGTTGATCTTATGATTTCCGTGGGAACAAACAAAAAGAAGAAGGTGTTCCATGGGATTTAAGCATTTCAGCTGCGAATTAAACATGGGAATATATTGCCTGGGAGATAATGGAGCAGATTGAGGAGATGCTTGCCCTTGACTGTCGAGATGATCTTGCCCTTGAAAATTGACATGGAACCCCAAACATGTCCAGTTCAAACAGGAAAAGCATCTTCCCATCACTACAGCTCCAAACACCTTCTGAGACTGTATTTGGAGTTGTTTTTTGGGGTCTAAACACTTTCTCAGAGGGTATTTGGAGCTCTAGGGCATATTCCGCTGTCATCAATCTGTGGGGAAGATGAATGAAGATGATGTATCTTTGGGAAGGTCAACCATGGGTTCCAATGTGAGCGTCGTCACCTGTTTGCGAGTTCTGGTGGTTGGTTCACAAGGGGTCCAAAAACAATGATTATAGATGATTATAGTATTTTCGATTAAACTACCTAGAACTCCCTATTACAATCAATCAACAGGCTGTTTTTTTGTCACTGTTCATGTGATATATCCAGTCTCCATTTCACCCTTGGGATTTCTGGGTTCGTCGAATCCTGTGGATGAACATACCCTCTGATAATCTAACATAGCTATTGAGAATGGTACATTTATAGATGATTTGCCATTTTTTTACCATTTTTTTCCATGATGATTTTCACTATACCCATATGCTCCATATATGGTGTAGATTTACCAGCATTTACTTCCGAAAATGGCTAGTCATGCAGGTAAATTTCGTTAATATACCAGCACCGTGGAGCATATGGGATAAATATACCATACATATCCATAGATGCAGCATTTTCACTATAGCTATGCAAAATCACCGGAGGGTCACTGCAATGTGGCCCCCCCAGTTGTAAGTTGGTTTATAAACCCTAGTTAGTATTATAGTTATTTACGTACCATAAACCATAGTGACATTGGACTTATAAACTAAGTCTAGGGGCCCACTTTTGCGTTTTATTCACTGGATTGGTTTCAGGGAAAATTTTAACCGGAAACCCCGATATTTCATAGGGGAAAACCATGGTTTCATATGGTTTCCTGTTTATGTCACCATACTTTGATGTGCCATGGGATTTTGCCGATTCCTGGTTAGTAACTGGGGATATTCTTTACCCTCAAAAAATCCCTGGTTGAAATAATCCATGGCTACTAACTAGTTATATAACTAACTCCATGGCCCATCTAAGTATGGTGACATCTCCTCCATCTCGAAGTCGTCATAGGCGCTGACAATGATCAAACTCCGCTGGTACGACTCCAGGCCTACGTGATACCACCGTTGACCGCAGCAGCCAAGTCTGGTGGAACTTCACAAAGGGATTTTTCATGGGAATTCATGGGATTTCTTGGGGATTTAAGTGACTTACATGGGATTTTTCATGGGAGTTCAATGAGATGGTTCAAGGATTTAATGGTGATTTAAATGGGGGATTTCTCTTGGGATTTAATGAGATGTTAAATGATTTATATAATATGGTGAGTTGATTTAATGGTTATTTAATGGGAATTTCTTGGAATTTATATGGGAATGGGATTTCAAGGGATTTATTGATTTCCATGGGATTTCATGGGATTTCATGGAGACAGCCTACTTCTAAAACATGGAAACTCCCTTCTCGCGAAATGGAGCTTTCTCGATGCGAAAACCATGGACGACAAAAAATGGGTTTAGACCCTCTGTGATCGACCTGAAAAACCACCAGCAGCTGAGTTTATAAACCCATCAACTATACTGATTGGTGGTTTCAACCCCTCTGAAAAATATTAGTCAGTTGGGATGATTATTCCCAATATACGGAAAAAAAAAATGTTCCAAACCACCAACCAGTATAGTTGTATCATGTTGTATCCCCCATAAACCATAGTGATAGTGAAGAAAACCCACTTAGCTATATCTACTTGGAGCCTCCCACCAAGAAATTGCACAGCCGAGCGGCGAATGTGGAATGAAAATGAAATTTCTTCAAAGGATGGCGGTATTTGTCCCAACAACTCGTCCTGTCACGTTCAACGCTCCCGGTGATGACGTGTGAACCAGGGACTGTCGGCCAGCTACTTGGAATCGTTCATGTTTGAACTCTGGGACTCTGCCTACCGACCCTGATGTTTTTCTTTATCCTCTGCTGGTTCCATGATGGAACGGATCAGCATCCAAGTTCATCTACATGCAGGCGTACGGCACATAATGAAGCTGACAAGGTGGTAAAATTGTCATCTCTACATTTTACCGAACCTACAAGCCCAACAAAAATACAATGATTGTGAAAAACCCAGTTTGTTGGTTGCATATAAAATTGCTTATAAGCCCCATTCGCCATAGTTGCAACCACCGTAAACTCAACAATTAGCCAAACTATTTCAACCAACTTGGCTAACGAACTGGGGTACCACATTGCATTGTATGTTATATACCCCCATCTCGACGCTATTCCCAATGTGGCCGGTCGAATACTATGAAATCATAGTTTTTTTCAAAAAATCCCCATAATGTGTATCTCTATATATATATAATATTATAGTATCATATTTGATGATCTCCCAATCATATCCCATTATATATATATATTATATATATATATATCGCTATATATTCCATTGAAGTTCCCCAATATCCCCAGCAAAGTCGTCCAACCCCTTTTCGGAAGTCCTTCTGAAGGTTCCATTTCCATCCATTTCCCAACTACACCCCCGGTCCATTCCGTTCTATTCCATTCCAACATATCCCCCATCATGGATTTGCTTAAGGAGCCACGAAAAAATGCGAAACATATTCCCTTCATCGATTCCCCGAAGTGGATTTCTCAGAAAATAACAGCCATCATCTTCCGCAAATCCAAGCCATCATATCCCCATTAAAAATACTTGGTTTGCCCCTTTGTTTTGTGAAAAATCTCAGCCAAACATCATCACCCTCGAAGATCCATTGAGATCTTCAATGAAAAATCACCTAATACTGGAAGTCGAAACAGGGCCCTCCACTTAGATGAGCCATGGAGTTAGTGAAAACTAGTTCGCAAAGGATTATTTCAGTATAGGAGATAGGGGCTTATAACCCCAGTTACTAACCAGGAATCGCCAATCCTATGGCCCATCTAAGTATGGCCGACATCCATAAAATCGACTTAGTTGCTGGTCAAATTCCATGATATTCCACCATATCCCCATGATATCCCCATGATATCCCAAAGTCCAAATAGGGCCCTCCGGGCCCCTCCGGGCCCCTCCGTCCTTCTTCGTTCCGTTCCCCAAATACACGGCATAGCTGGTGATGCCCGTCGGCACGGGGGCGGGAACGATGGTCAAATCCCCGCGTACTTGATCTGCTACTGGATCCTTGGAGCCGGAGATCGATTGATCGGTGGATTTTAAGGAAGCCTTCGGTTTTCATGGGATTTCATGGGTTTGAATGGTGATTTATGGGAGTTTATGGGATTTAATGGTGATCTTGTAAAATTTCATGGGATTTACTGGGTTTGAATGGTGATTTGATGGGATTTACATACGTAGAAATGGTGTGATTTAATGGATGTCAATGTGATTTAAGCATATTATGTTTGTTGGTTTATAAACCCGTTTACCCTCCTGTAAACGTTTACATAGAGGTGGAGAACCCACCATTTGTAGATTATTTATGAAATGGGAAACCATGGGTTTTCCACATCTATCTTTACCCTCCTGTAAACGTTTACATAGAGGTGGAGAACCCACCATTTGTAGATTATTTATGAAATGGGAAACCATGGGTTTTCCACATCTATCTTGGTTTACCCCAGGGTACGAAAATGTGATATCCCATATGGCTAACAGAGTTATGTGCATCAACTCAGCTATCAACCGGGGGTGCAGATTCTGACTGAGCCTTTTTGATGGTGGCCAACACAAATCAGGGGGTCACAGAGGTTTCATCACGTTTCATCAACATATGTGCCATGGTCAAATATGTGCCATGGTCAAGTTACGTGGATTACATGTGATGTTATTTTTGTTTCATCATGTTTGATCTAGGTTCACAAAAAAATAAGGTCGCGGTCATACCAGCAAGAAATTGGACACACACCGAAGCGAGAAACATCCACTTGCATTGACTATCATGCCCCAAGATGGGCAAGTTTTGACGACGCTACAAGGTGGTGCCCCATGGTGCCCCTCCAGCTGAAAAAGATCCAAGACCAAGCGTCGGAATCGCCCGAGAAGCTGGCGTTCGCTGGCGCACTGCGAACCTCGACCGTTGGATGAGTCAAAAGCCTGGTACCCAAACGGGACCATATAAAAAAGACAGTGAATGGATGTGGATCCACCCCAGTCATATGGTGAATTCATAGGTTGTTTGTCTGGTTTCGGCCTGCTCATGGGATACTGTGCTGGGCATGAGGAGTCCAGAGATTCTCTATCTTTACCTATATCCTCCATCATGCTGGTATATTGTCATTTTGGGGGTAAATCTTGGTAAATATTCTAGCACCACGGAGAATTTGGGTTGGGATATAAAATGGTCGTTTTTTGATGTTTATTGGTTTTGTTTTATGGGATTTCATAGCACTTAATGAGATTTGAATAGCAATTTAATGGGATTTGAATATCATACAAGGTGGTGCTAAGTTGCTTTAGTTCTCGCGGTGAATTCTATGGTTTATGGTAGATATATCGAACTAGTTAGTGGGGCGTATAAACCAACAAACATAACTGGGGGGGCACCACCTTGTAGGGATATAAAATCGTGTATATCCTCTAGGTAAACTAACATAAACTAACATAAGTATGGAAATTCACTACTTTTAAAGCTAAATCAACTATTCTTTATGGACCATTTTGCAATAGCTATCTCAGTTTACTGGAGGTATAATCCTTAGATAGGATATATGTCAATATCCAGAGATTCTAAGGATGGTAAAGTTAGCCGATATATTATAAGGATATTTCAAAGGATTGTAAATTATATAAAGCATTCAATTGTGACTATATAATTTATATAATATACATATAACATAAAAAGAATCCCTGTATATCCCTGTCATATATCCGTGACTATATACACTTTAAATCCTAGAGTATATTATAGTTACAAACCAACTTAGCGATCCAGTGAAGCACCACATTGTATATATAATATGGTTACTAGCTAGGATTCGTCAAATATGCTTCAATCCCACAAGAAATCAGGATGAAATCCCGTTCAAAATCACCATGTTGAAACCATTCAATGCCATCAAATCCCACCATTCAAGTCCTAAAAACCATCAAAAATCCAGCATTTTTGGGTGAAATCTCAAGAAACCAATCAGCTTAGCTGGTGAGTTCGGCTCGTTTTCATCCCAGCCAGATACCAAGTCAGACTAGTTAAGATGAGTTAAACTACCATTTTCTACCCATCTAGTCGATTGACCATTGATGCTGAAACCACCTGATTTTTGCTACCAGCTCAACCACCCACTTAGATGGGCCATGGGAAAAACGCGATTCCTGGTTAGGAACTGGGGATTTGTTACCAAAAAAAACAATGAAATAATCCATTTACTAACCAGTTTTAACTATCTCCATGGCCCATCTAAGTAGAATATTCCATAAAATGGCATTAGATCTAGTTAGTTAATGGATGTTAATGGTAACTATATATTATATGGTAACTTTTGGTGACTAATGTTTGCTTAGTAAAGGTTTTCATAAAGTGGCCCAAAAAATAGCAGTTCCACAGTTCCACCACCTCCGCCGTCCGCAACGTCCAGGAGGCAATGTCCCGCAGTGGAATCCAGGTCTTGGCGCCTTCGCCGTGCGCGTTGCCGCTGACCGCCACGATGCTCACTGCGGCGCTGGGAAGTTCCAGGTCCAGGTCCTCAAAACGCGGAGGTTCAGGACTTTCACCAGCAAACATGGTGCAAGGTGGTGCCCCCCCAGTTATGTTTGTTGGTTTATAAGCCCCACTAACTAGTTCGATATATCTAGCATAAGTCCTAGTGAAATTAGAGTTATAAACTAACTGAACGCTATCTTGGGGCTTGGGGGCACCACCTTGTGGATTTTATATGATTTATGATGTGCAACCAAAGAAATGGGTGAAAACTTGGTGAATTTTATGAGGTTAATGGTGAATTTATCAGGTTTGACCAAGAAAGATGGTGATTAGAAGGAAGTGGAATTTATGTAATTGAGAAAAACGATGGGTTCATCTAATTTGAACAGAACTATGGGATATCTCCTCAAGATCAATGATGGTCTAATGGTATTTAAACAACAAAATCATAGTTTGGGTTCAGTGGTAATTTAAGCAAAACATGCTGATTTGATTGTACACAACCATCGGTTTGATGGTGATTTAATGAGGATTTACATAATGATCATTATTCCGGGAATTGTTACAGGTCTAATTGGGATTCAGCTTTATGGATCAACAAAAAAAACATAGTGGGACTTAACGAACAAAGAAAGGGTGTAACATGGGGATGGCTTTCGGAAGGTCGCTCGATTTCCATGGGATTTAACTAAAATCGTGATTTCCATGGGAATTGACCAAGCAAAAATGGCGGATTTCATGGCATTGAACCAACCAAGATGGTAGTTCGCCAACGAAACAAAGGGTGGATCTCGATTTCTGGGCCCCAAAAATTGTAGGGTTTATGGTTTAGGGTGTCAATGGTTTGGAAAGCTCGGTCGATCAAGGGATTCAAGGGACTCGTGGCAGAAGAAATCCTTGGGGGGTAATACCTGTACTGTATTGCAATCACAGCTGAATATGTGGCTGAATATAGTTGGCCAGTGATAAACAAGTATGAAACTCAGGGAAGGTTTAAGCTAACAAAAAAAGGATCTTTTTCTCAGCAGAAATGATCTTTAGCCTTTAGCTACAAAACGTAGATCCCAACCTATGAAGATGTGGATCTTAATCTACAAAATGGGGATCTGATATGATCTAGACAGTACTAAGCGTGATTCCCTGTGAATGGGTCGTTTATTTGCGCCCGTATCTTTGGTTGCTGTCTGTTAAGCGCTCACGCTCGCCACTGCTATTATTAGGATGTCTTTTTCTGGGCTTTGGTTCACCCATTCAGTGCACCAAGCTTTCACCAAGGCTTGGTGTTTGAGCCCTTTCTTTTCCTAGTCAAAAGGCTATGGGTCAAGACCCTGCTAAGTTTACATCAACTAAAAGCTGTTTTAGCTGCATGTTCTGAGAAAATTCTCCCAAATTTATGCTTGCGCTTCTTCAATAGGGTATTTTCTCCACCCCCACCTAAAGGGGTGTGATAGGGTGTATATATATATTATATAATACATCCCATGTATCCCATTAATTGATTCTCCCATTGCTGTTCATTTCCCCAGGATTGAAGTTTTTATCTCCCCACATCCCCATTCACCACAAGGTAGTGTCCCCTAGTTCTGTTTCTTGGCTTATTCACTCACTACATGGCCAATCTTAGATACCCTGCCAAAAAAAAAAAAATCTTGGCTGGTTAGTAGATAATCCCATTGATACTAAAAGACTAGTTAGGATTAAACTACCCATCTAAGATTGACCTAGTCTATAGTTCTAGTCACCATAACCCCCCAGCTACCAACTTAGCTGCAGCTAACTGGGGCACCGCCTTGTACCCCTTTGCCTTGGCCCTAAAAACCTCTGTTGGCCCCTGCCGCCGGGCTCGCCAGGTGTCAATCTGCAGCATCTCTTTGGCCGTTTTTGGGGCCTCCAGGGTCCACGAGTACTCAGTCCACTGCGCAATGCCATCCACGTCGGCGAAATAGACGTGGTAGAAGGTGACCTGAGCGCTACCAAGGTGTCGCGACCACGCGGAGAAGACAAAATTGTTATGCAATGACAATACGTAACAATAATATACATGTTGATGCATTAATACATATAACACACATGTACTGTATATATATATATATACAGATATATAGATATCTATATACATATAATTTAATTTACGTTAGTGTACATTAATATATATATACATAATATACATTTGATTAGATAATGCTCTGGATCTCTCAAACTGACATGGCATCCGTAAAAAAAGGCCTAGTCACAGCCAAGACTTGGCCGCAGTGAAATATATGGTGATCCCCCTATGCTCCATGTATGGTACAATGTGGGGCCCCCCAGTGATGTGAACGTTGGTTAACAAAAACCCCATGAATACTATAGTTATAAGATGTTATACAGTAAGTACCATCAACCATAGTTATTGGAGTTATGTTCACCAACCGAACGCTATCTTGGGGGCCCCACATTGTATATTTACCTACATGACTGGGTGATTTTGTTCGGGCAAATGTTGGTAAATATTCCAGCACCATGGTTCGCATATGTGATCTATAAACCGATAGTTAACGATGTTACATCGATAAATGTCAACAAATATGATAGTTAACATGATAGTTAGCATCTACAAACCAGCATGACTATATAATACTATGTAAGTGTTAACTATCATCTAACAGTTAGGTGATTCAATGATAATTTACAACTCCTTAAACGACAGTTATACTATGTTGGATGATACGCAGCTGGGTGAGTTAGGCAACCGACCAGTAAATCGATGTATGTTGTAGTCCATGAACTACACTCGATATCACTCGATGATGTTCGGGTTAGTTTCCGGCTAAATCAGCTAAATCAAGTCAACTCCAATTGATCGTATCTTAATCTTATCATGTCTATATAGTCACGTTTTGCTCGTTTAGACCCGACGTACAAACCGTTTTACCAACAACTTATGGCCCCTCATGGCCCCTCTAATAGCCATGGCCACAAAACGAGAGGTTGTCCAACTAACATGGAAAAACAAAACCTCATATGAATCTAAATTATGGACATAAATATGTGAATATGTGATTACTGTATATCCAAACTAATTCTCAGCTAATGCTGTGGCTTACCACATAGTTATCCAATAATGCCCAGGTTCAAGTGTGGAACATTAAGTGGACATGTCCACTGCTTAACAACCAATATACCCACAGGTTTGTTGCCCTTGAAAGATCAGAAAATTGTCTTCCAAACCCAATTTTTGAGGTTCCAAGTTTGCGCCAGTTCCTTTTCACATGCCCAGGGTTTATCATCATCTTGAAATTGCCATAAAGTTTAGTAGGCAAATGTTTATGGAAGCACAATGAAGAACATACATGTTTCCACCGGTCTAAAAACATATTATCCTATCCAAGATCCACTGTTAGTTAATACATCCCCACAAAAGTCCCCAAAAATAGACTACCCCATTCCAGTAGCCTATGGTTCATCATGATCTCTCCCTACTTTAAACAATACATAGATTTGAAAAAATCCACCATATGTACCCTCTGGTAATTTAACATGGCTATGGGAAATCACAATTTTTAATGGGAAAATACACTATTTCTATGGCTATTTTCAATAGCTATGTTAGTTTAATCCACTATAAATGGCTATGTTCAATAGCTTTTTGTTAGTTTAATCCACTATTTCTATGGCTATTTTCAATAGCTATGTTAGTTTACCAGAGGGTAGATGTTCCATGACTTTCCTATAGGAAACCATCGGATTTTCCCCATGTCAACGTGACCGCATCAGCTCCCATGGAGGGAGGGAAGAACTCAATGCGGCCCTTGATCAGCTTCTCCTGAGCAGCGAGAACCGAGGAGAAGCTGATGGCACCATCAACTAGGCTGTTTTCATGGTGATTTTCATGGTTTCCGAATGGTTTTTTGAATGGTTTATGAATGGTTATTTATGGTGATTTTCATAGTTTATAAATGGTTATTGACATATTGATGGTTCTTAATGGCTAGGAAGCAATGGTTATTAACCATCAACTAGCATGGGAACAATGTGGGGGTCCCAAGACAGCTAAGTTGGCTTACAAACCCCAGTGAATATCGTGAATACTATAGGTATCATAAACCAGCGTGAAATTGGAGTTTTAATCCTTATTGATGGATATAACATGCTTAAAGTGATTCTTAAAAGTTCTGTTGAACCCACTAATTTTCATGGTTAAGGGTCCAAATCTTAAAGTGGTTAACTTAATGGCTGCTCTCCAGTAAATTAATATAGACCCTGCCAGATAGGGGTTGGAAGACTAGTTTCCACTACGAATTGTTCATTTGCAGGGTCTATGCTAATTTACCAAAGGGTATATCCACATAAATCCAATTTAATTCCCATTAAATCCCATTAAGTCCCTTTAAATCAACATCAAATCACCATTTATAGGTGATGGTCCCATATTTTCCTATGGTTATTGCTAGTATAGTGTTTATTTCTTGGTTATTACCAGCAACTGACGCACGATGATCATCCAACGGCTGGGTGACGATGTGACGTTGGGTGACGATGTTGGTGGTGCCCCACCGGTTATAAATTAGTTATAATCCCATTAATTATAGAATACTATATATATATACATAAATATATATATACATAAATATATATATATATGTACATATATAATATCACCTATAAACCATAGTGAAATTGGAGTTATGTTCACCAACTTAGTTTTTTTTGTACCACCATGCTGGTGAAATGGCGAAAATAGCTGGTGTCTATGGATGTTTCCCCTAACAAATGGTGATGGGCATTGATCCATAGCCAACTCAGTCATTTCGCGGAGTTACTCAGTCTGCTGAATCGAAATGCATCAAGAGAAACCCTCCGAAAATCCATCTCACCAATCATTCACCAACCAGTCGCCAACAACTGTTTCTTTTTTGGTGACATGGTGAACCTTGGATACCTGCCAGAAATATACGTTTTAGCGGATTGGTACTAACTTTACCGTTGACTGCAAAAGATTCAAGTATTAGTTATAATATCTAACCAAGTATTGAATCCCACTCAATCACCATGTTTGTTGCTTAAATCCATGAAAAAATCACCATGTTTCATGGTTAAATCCCATTAAATCATCATTTTTCATGGTTAAACCCCATTAAATCATCATGTTTTATGGTTAAATCACCATTTTTTATGGTTAAATTCCACGAATCAGTCGTTGTTGGCCCAGGTGATCGATGAAACTAAGCTGTCCCCGGAGGCACCTGCACATTCTCATCGAGGAAACTTAAGTTGCGTGCCACCAAGGCTGGTGATGGTGCCATGACCGAGGCATCAAAGTCCTTCAGAGTTCCTCGAGGGACGTCGGTCAGTCAGTGACGAAATTTTGGTGTTTTTTTCACATGGTGGATATTGTAGACATACATGTCTATCTATGAAATGATCATTATATATATATATATGCACATATGATATATATATATATATATATATACCATATATACATAACATACATACAACAAATTACGATACATTACAATACATGATATAAAACATTCTATAAAACACGATACGAACTAACAAACCATGGCATTTCTAGATCTAGTACATGTAATACTAAACAAAAAATGGGGGATCCCCAACAGTGTTCCTTTGTTTCGTGGAAAATCCAAAGAGAAGTGGATGATAACTAGGGGTACCCGGGGTACCCCCAATTTAGGAAACCGCCATACCACCAATTTTGCTTGGTTAAATCCCTTGATCATCCTTCATCGAAACTCCACGTCGTGTTGCATTATAATAATATTACCATCATTGGTGAAATCTCAATTTAAGTCTAGTATAGCTCTAGTACATCTAATAGTTCAAAAAAAAACCTGTTATATAGTCCGATTTGGTTAGATCCCTTGATCTATTCCACCTCTTAGTCTTGCATTATACAATACCATATATACCCCATACATATATACCTCATATATATATATATACACATTTATAAAATAAAAATATCCATTTATACCCATATTATACCCCATATTTACCTAATAAAAAATGAACAATCTTATTAAAATGGATGATAACTAGGGGTACCACCATAGGAAACCTCCATATAATGTCACATAACCATTATACTCCATTATACTGGTTAGTTTATAGGGATTCCCCTATTTGATAAGTATAATCCCCAATATATAAAGGGTATAGTATAATCCGCGAACTAATCATCAACCAACAGGGGTTTGGCAGCCACTGCTATTATAGTTATCGAGAAAATTGAAGAAAATCCCATCATTCATCTTCCATATATTTCCCATATATATATATGTATACAATCACATCATTCATCTTCCAAAAAATCCATCCCCATCCCCCAATCAAAGCCGTTATAAACCCATCTGGTTGATGGTTGACCTACCCCTCTGAAAAATCATGGAGTTAAAGTCAGTTGGGATGATGACATTCGCAATGGAAAGTCATAAAATTCATGTCCCAAACCACCAACCAGTGATGATTTACCCTCTGGCTATTTAACATAGCCATGGTATAGATGGCCCATTTATAGATGATTTACCTGTTAACAATGGTGATTTTCCATGGCTATGTTCCCCTCAAATCCCTAAGGTTCTCCGTTTCTTTCGCCAAAGGCGCCATAGGCCGCTGCGGCGCCCTCCGTCTCCTCGAAGGCGGCAACGACCTGGAGTTCCATCGAGGGCGGCTGCATCGATGGCACCTCGAAGTCCGCCTCAACGCCAACGCGAAGCAGGGAGAGATATAGCCAAAGGAGATCACATATTTATATATATATATATATACACATGAAAATAAAAACATGAGATATGTGACATGTATAATATGTATGTATGTGTGTGTATGTATGTATGTATATGTATATGTATATGTATGTATGTATGTATGTATGTATGTATGTATGTATGTATGTATGTATGTATGTATGTAATTATGTACGTGCGTAGGTACGTACGTATATGTACGTGTAATTAGTGTTGTTCTGTGTTGGTTTTAGATGTATAAATATGTTTTTAATTGACATGTGCCGTTTCATGTAAAACGATATCATCATCATCATCATCATCATAGCATATCCAATGTGGGAATGGTGATCACCCACAAAACATGTTTGATGACCGGAGGCGATTGGATTTCTTCAACAACCATCCCAACTAGGAACTAGAACTAATTGACATGTCCAGAAGATGCTCAAAGTACCCATGAAAAAATGTGAATTTAATATATATATATATATTGTATGTATATAGTGTATATATTATGATATTATATTATATTGTGTATATCCTACAGTAGCGTAACCGATCATAGATATCCTCCAAAAAAGAATGGCAAACAAATAAAGGATTGAACGGATTAAAAAACTACACATCCTGTCGCTTTCCGAAAAGCCACGAGATGCGCCCCCCGATTTTTTTGTTCGCATTCTGGGCCTATTCACCATTTAACAATGATTGACATCAGTGTGCAGGAACTACTTATCATGGTTTTATCTCAGTTTAACTACTGATTTCATCAATTGATGCAACATGATTCAACTATAAATCCAGTCATATCCCAGTTTAACTATTGGTTTAACTATGAAAGTCATCAATCATTTGGACTATTTTCCTGGGGTTTCCAAACCTTTTTGTGGTTTACCCTAAGGTAACATCCAACTATAAACCCACAGTAAGCGATTTAATTTGGCTACATGAATCCAGCCATCTCCCGCTTGAAATATCACTTGAAATATATATATATATTTATAAACCACTACTATATAAACCCACTTGAAATATTGAAAGCACATGAAAACACGATATCTATTCCCACTGTTCAAACCCAGTCTGGGTCACCTAAAAGGTCACTTTGGTCAAAGGACAGTGGTGCCCGTCTGGGTGAGATGAAACGTCCAGCCTTCTTCCTTGGTGCCGGCAGTTGATTTGAAAACAATGGGGAAATCCTGGGAACATCATCCACAGATGGTGTTTTTGAGTTCACATCTATGTAAATGTTTACATGATCTTCATCACTTAATAAATTCAATTAGCAATTAAGGGATTAACACAATCTTGCGTTAATCAGTTCTTGATTTGAGGGATTTGAATTAACAATTGAGGGATTAACGATGGATTAACGATCATATGCTTGGGAAACTCGTGGTAGCTCCTTAGCTCCCCATTTATTTCATCTACGGAATTTCCCTAGCTCAGCTCAGCGCTCCCTCTTCAGAGTTCACCTATCAATTTTGCTTCCTTTGAAGGGATTACCCTCTGGTAAACATACAAAAAGCTATTGAAAATGGCCGTAGAAATAGTGGATTTTCCCATTAAAAATTGTTGATTTTCCATAGTTATGTTAGTTTACCAGAGGGTAACACATGGAAAAAACAACAGCCATCACTTGATTATTCAACATCCAGTTGGCCCAATTTGATCACCGTTTGTTGTGATTTGAAGTTATATAACTGATGATAAAACAATCATTTATAGGGGCTTTATAAGCATGAAGAATGTAGGGATAGAACTAATGATGGCTGATGATTTGGGCTTTTAAAAAAATGGGATGACTTGGGTGTGTCTGCAACTAGCCTACCGTTTACCCCTTGATAGACAAGATGATTTGGAACATGAGTTTATCACCCACTATTTTTCAGGGTACCCTATTTTCAGACAAACCCATCGGGTTGTGTGCGGGTACACAAACTGGCGACTCATACTTAGATGAGCCATGGGTTGACATTGGAAATGAAAGGTGGGTGAAATAAGCCATGAACCGTACCAACGTTATGTCATTCTATGTTATTATATTACAACGATATTAATCCAGTTGCCAGTTGACTGGTATCGCCAATATCATATCACCACAGAAAGCTACAAATCTCTTCCTCTCACTATTCAACACCCCCCAAAGGAAACCTTGGTTTTAGTATTGGGTTGCTCTTCATGTTGGGTGTCATTTCAGGGGCATTCAATATGATATAGGGGGATGGGATTAATCATATTAATCGAAATCATCACGTCCCATCCAAGCATCAATGGAGATGTCATCTTCACAAGATTAAATGTCTAGGACATTTACCCTCTGGCAAATTAACATAGACCCTGGCAGATAGGGGTTGGAAGACTAGTTTCCATTAAAAATTGGTGATTTTCAGGGTCTATGTTAATTTACCAGGGGGTAACATTGATCTGGATAAAATTCAATAATTCACTAACCTAAAACAAGGGGCCATGTGGGGATAGTTACCCCCACTAACCATCATTCCAGTGACGTCGCAGTGAGGTTGGCTATTTTGGAGGCTTCGCATTGTAGGACATTGGACACCAATTGGAGTTTTACACTAAGAAAGCAATAGTATATCTAAATAAGACTCCCCAATAATACTCCCTACTTACCACCTCTTGAAATTACAAATAGTCTTTCAATAGTTGCTGAACACTGTTGCAACTCTCGCACTAATAAACATATATTATTATATAATTAATATCAACTATTCATCACGATTATTGGTTAAATAAAACATGTCGGGGATATCAGTTATCAATGAATACCTTTAAACATCAAACCAAATCACTAAAAATACTATCTGGTTATTTAACATGGTCATGGAAAATCCCTTATAAATGGAGGTTTATAGCTGGGAAAATCATCTGTAAATGGGCCATCTATACCATGGCTATGTTAGTCATAACCAGATGGTATATAAGGTTTGAGTTCAGGGGGTTCCCAGCTAGAAACCTCTATTTAGTTCATGGATTTCCCGTTTTTCAAGCCCGCCATGGAGCTGATGACTGGAGGGAGGGCACTGCGCCGATATTGTTTATTCGATCCCCAAGATCAACGTATCCCAAAAAACTATAAAAAACTATTGGGGATACGATATTAGTTGATTTGACATAGATCTTTCCTCATATGATATCCCTGATATCCCACATTTTCCCAATGATATGGTATTAGCTCATATCAACTATTCATCAATGTATCCCAAAAACTCCAAATACCCTCTGAGAAGGTGTTCAGTGTTCAGATTCTTGAGACCCCAAAAAACAAGTCCAAATACAGTCTCAGTGTCGGTTTTTGGAGCTCTAGGGTATTGCTAACATATACAGTCCATTGCTAATACAGCAGTAATATTGATGAATACTTCAATCAGACTGCTGTTTTAATCCACAGTCTTCCGAGGGGCCACTTCACTTCGGTCGCTCGACCAAGTGATGGTATGGAGCCCACCTAGTCATAGCATGGAGACTGATTTTCGTGAGATTTAACACAGAAAAAATCGGATCTCACATGATTTCACCATCAAAAATGCGGATTTAAGGGAAATTTATAGGGATTGAACATGATTAATTAAAAAAAATCAACATGGTGATCTTTGAGATGGTTTCATCACCAAATATGCGCATTTCACTACCCAACGTATGTTGATGGATCATGGTTCAACTCAGTGAAAGTGGATTGTCCCTACTTATATAGAGGTCTAATAGAGTTTAAGTGGGTTCAATAGAGTTTAAGTGGGTTCAATAGGTGTCTATATATATATATTTATTTAGTATATATATATATCCCACCAGAGATAAAACCTAATAACGTGGGTAACAATCATATCATAATCCGATACATGTAGGAATATCATTGAAAGCACATCAAAATCACTGAGGAATCCCACAGATTTTTTTTCTAGAAATCACTAAGAAATCCCATATACGTTCCATAGAAATCCTTGAAAATATACCTATATACAATGTGGCCCCCCCCCAGTGATGTTTGTTGGTTTATAAGCCCCATTAACTATAGTTATAAGTACCATAAATCATAGTTATTGGAGTTATAAACCAACGTACTGTAGCTATCTTGGGGACCCCACATTGTAATGTACCCTCCGGAAAAAAAAAAAACTTTGCTATGAAAAATCACAACATGTTGGTGTAAATCATGGAACTTCAAATGGCGATGACTGGATCTTCCATAGGAATTTCTGAAACGATATAAATCGCATGAAATCCCATGAACAATCGCCATGTACAGAAACCTCAAATGCCCATTTTTCCATTGCAGTCTACAGTCCAATTCAAGAACCTCAAATGCCCATTTTTCCATTTCAGGAAATTTCATGTACATCCAATTCAATCATTTTCCATCCAATTTATGAAATTTGATGTACATCCACAGTGCCAATCAGCCAGATACCCTGCAAAAAAAATCTTAGCAAGAGACTTTACTAAAGGTATATGGTATCATACCATTAACATACCAATACACCATGAAGTTCAGTCAGATAATCCCAGCCAGATACCAAGTCAGACTAGTTAGGATTAGATAGATAAACTACCCATCTATACGGTTGACCTACAAAGTGGTGCGCAAAAAAAGAGAGCCAAGTTGGTGGAAATAACTCCAATGTCACTATGGTTTGAAAAAATGATATATCTATAGTTATATAATGTTATATAATGGATGTTAATTAATGGGGATTATAAACCAATTTATAACTGGAGTTTAAACAAAATGGATGTTAATGGGGATTATAAATCAACGTTCACATCACTGGGGGGCACCACCGAACGTAGTCATACCTAGTCCCCATTAACTATAGTTATTTGCGTACCATAAATCAAAGTGAAATTGGAGTTATGTTCACCAACTGAACGCTATCGTAAACGGGGCCCCACATACCTAGTCCAATCACATTTCACCATCCATTGGGTGCCCGCACTGGGCAGCTTGATGTTCATCGGCAAGGCCAGTTTCGTGCCAGAGAGCTGCCGATCCCCGACCTCCAGAAAGTCGTAGTACTTCTCGGTCCTACAACGATGAAAACATCAGTGTTTTCACTGGGGAAATATGGTGAAAACAAACATAGCTATTGAAAATGGCCATAAGTTGATTTACCCATTAATAGCATGGTGATTTTCCATAGTTGTTTGTATGTTTACCAGAGATTACCAGAGTGTATTTATGTGGAAATATGGTGAATTTGTAGGAAATGATGGTGATTCTACCAACAAAAATTGATGTCATGATGTCATGGGAAAGATGATGAATTTATGGGATTTTAGCTATGAAATCACTGGACATGGTGATTTTATTTATATGATTTTATGTAAACCATATAGTTACATATATAACCCCATATAGTGGTTTACATAAAATCATATATTGGTGTTATATATAGTTTATGATTTTACATATTGGAATTATCCATTCATAACCCCTAGTGCTCCAGTTATACCCTCAATTCGAAGGTGTTCATTCAGACTCTTTAGACACCAAGTCAAAGAACTCCTTGTATACAGTCTCAGTCTCGGTGTTTGGAGCTGTAGGAATGCTGAATTTATATGAATTTATGTTATTTCACCAACACATATGGTGATTTCATGGGATTTGACACAGCAACTACATTGATTTTCATTATGGGGATCTAACCAGCAAATTTACATATTAATGTTTCATAGGATCTAAACGATGAAACCATGTTTTGCGAAATTTAACAAGAAAGGGTGCAAACCAACCATTTAATGGGGATATCATAGGGATATAATGGAATATATTGCAAGGTGATGGTAGGTTATATAATATCTATACTTGATCGGAGAAGGTCCCAGGGGTCAGGGAAGTGTTAAAAATGTCAGCATTTGGGAACTGGGAGTCGACATCTGCCTAGACTCTCAGTTCATACCTATGCCATTCATGGAAGTTACTGCACATTGATCTGTTTTGATGCAGCAATTTGTGCTCATTTTATGTGCACTTTAAGAGTTGTTATGAGGTTTTTAGGGCCCAGCTAGACAGATTCGGACATACTAAGGACCTATGTAAATTTAACTCACCCAAGTCACCACATCCAAGGTGTCGCGCACAGGAATTTTCGTATGTTGACTTCAATTTGACCATCTGTCTCCGTTGGGTGCCCGGATTTGCCATTGGTGGGGGTATGATTGGTATGGTTGAGGAAGAGGGATCTCTGAGTCCTGCTGGATGCCACTGGAGGATTTTTGGGTGGAAACTCAGAAATGACACCATGTTTACTGTCATCCATATGCAAACAGAAAAAGCCACAAATCTATCCATGTCTACATTATCTACATCAAAAAACCCTCTACTTAGATGGGCCATGGGATTAACTAACTGGTTAGTAACTGGGAATATAAGCCTCTATATCCCAATGGTAATCCATTTACTAACTAGTTAACTAACTCCATGGCCCATCTAAGTAGGTTTATCATATTGTCCTATCATATTTGCACTATGTCACCCATATTCAATCATATCCATCCATATCCATAACCCTCTGGTAAACAAACATAGCTATTGAAGCCATGGCCCAGTCGAAATAGTGGATTTACCCATGGTTTTTGCATGGTGGATCTTTCCAGTTCGTTTTTGTATGTTTACCAGGCCGGGAAGTTCTTTGGGGATCAACCACATCTTCACCTGCGGGCGTGCGGGCGGTCCTGAAGCTGGTGGTGGTCATCAAGGCCGGCCCACTGAAGTGGATTTTGGCCAACTCCTCGTTGTCGTAGGCACCACGGTGGAAGGTGTAGGTCGTGCCGCTCACGCTGATGTCCAACAAGTGGCAATCCACCTACAATTTATGCATCATGAAAGGAGTGCAATGAGGTGACTCGAACATGATGGATCTTGGGAGATTTACCCTGTAAACTAACATAGATGTAACAAAAACAATGATTTGGAACAAAAGCATGTTTTCCCTGGGAAAAGAATCCACAAATGGTGGGTAAACTCCACATCTATGGATGAGACTGTAAGGGTGGTGCCCCGGGTTAACTATGTTAACTGTTGGCAGATAATTATGTGGAGTTTTCCAAAGTCATAGGGGTACCTCCAGTTATCATCCATTGTTGTTGGCAATTGGAGATTTTCCAGGAAATAAATCATCAAAAAAACCATCCATTTCTACCCCCATGACTGTCCGGAACCACCTCGTAAGGGTGATAATATAAATCTCGGTGGAACAGTCTATAGGTGGTGCCCCCGTTTACTATAGAGTTAATGGTGTTTATAGACCAACAAACATCACTGGGGGGCCCCACATTGTAGCTGGACTATGATAGATGGGGTTCAAAACCTATGAACTGGCCATATTACTGGGGGAATAAAAATTCAGCTATACCAGCTATTTGCCAGGGTGTTGCCCACTTAAGCAACATGGACGCATATGCAGGTGCAATCCTGAAACTGATTGACGATTAGACACATTACGTGTGTGTGATGAATATTGATTTTCATGTTGTAATATGTTGTAATACTTCAAGAACCCCCTACTAATTAAACATTATTGATGGTTGTGAAAAGCTCATGAAAATGGTACCAAATGAAGCCATGGAATTGACCATGGTAACCGCTGTGTTTTTTTCTAACGGCATCTTCAATGCTGGAGAAGGCACCCGCGTGCACTTGGGACCAAACAGTTTTAGTTCTGTTGAATAACAAATGTCTTTGGATAGTCCCATATACAGGGGTTGGTAAATGTCCTAATTGAACATCACCCAACTATTGGGGATATAATCACCAACAAATACTTGAAAGTGATGTTCAAAATCCCCAAAACAGGACATTTACCAACCCCTGATATAGATGTATCATACATTTGTACATCACAGAACATAGTGTAAAGATGTATCGTTACGGGCAAAGCCCTCAGTTTGCCCGCGCCAACGCCGACGACATGTCCGAACATCAAAAATCACTGTGTTTTGTGGGACAAAATGCACATGTCCATGATCATGGCTTTCATCTTGCAACGCACAGCTTAGCTACCTGTGCGTTGAATGTTACAACAACATCATCATCATCATCATCATCATCATCATTTTCATCTTCATATTATTCATGTAAAGTTTAACGGGGGTGGGAATTTATATTCTGAATACCCCTGTTGATCTTCCCAATTGAATGTAAAGTTTAACGGGGGTCGGAATTTATATTCCTTCAAAATCCCTAAAAAGTTGTGTGGGCGAACTGAGGGTTTGCGCGTATCGTTACAACACATTGTGTCATTCCATTGTATGACCAGTTTTTTTCCCCTCATGAGTGGCGTGTTCCTCCCGTGGTTGCTTAAAAACACTGGCCAATGATAAGAATAGACTGCCAAAAACCATAAAATGTGTTTAACTCATAACTGGTTAGCTCAATATATCCACATGTGTGGTTAATGTGTATAAATATATATATATAATATGTTTGGTGGTTTCAACCCATTTGAAAAATATTAGTTTGTCAGTTGGGGTTATGAATTCCCAATATGATGGGAAAGTCATGCAATTCCATGGTTCCAAATCACCAACCAGCCATTATTAACCATAATTAACCTTTATTAATCATCATTAATCTATGGTTTTCAACAGATATAAGTGGTATTCAACAAGCCTTCACCAGATATATCTTTGATCAACTTGCCGGGGAAAGCCGTTAACGATCGCCTCGCATTGAGGGCGACTGAAGCCGTTGGCGGGCACCTTCCCCATGAGGTCGCCTTGCGGCAAACTGTTCAAAAGTGGTCCTAGGAAAGCGACAGGGTGCCCTCAGTTACAAGTTGGTTCATAAATCCATGAACTTCAGAGAATATGTATATATATATTGCAAAATGCATGATTTTACTGGAAACTTGCAAATATTAAAAAAAAAAAAACATGTTGGTTTGAGCGTTGGATCTATTCATGTTAAGGGGTTTGGGGTGGTATTTCATGGGGAAAGGATCGTCCAGACTCCAGACTTCTCACATTTTCTCAGCTCCACAGTCTGGGTTGTTTGGCATTCTTCGCAAAAAAAAAGGCTGGGCCAGCCCCGGTTGTGATCTTCAAGTATTTGAGCTCTCAAAATCCCAAGTTCTGCTGGTCAAATCTCTTTCTCGGGGAAGTAAACTCCTTTTTTTGGCAAGTGAGACTTGGTGGTACCTGGCGATATGCTCGAATACTCACTTTCACCCGCTGGGAATCTAACAGTTCGCTATGGAAAATGGCCCATTGAGGCCCATGAACCTCGATGATTTATCAAAAAATGCTGGAAAATCCAGTTCGCAAACTCTTTCGATTCCCATTCTATCCCAACAAAAGCATACCAAAAACCAGATTTTTTCTGGGCGTTCAATCCCGATGAAAGTTGTTCCCAAGCTCCAGTTTTCTCGACCCTGAGGCCGCCCACCTTGACCTGCGGCGCTGTGCCAATAGACCTGGAGGGGCGAAAGAGGAGACTCTGCAGAGATATCATGCAGTCAACTGGGGATATATATATATATATACCCTATGGATCCAAGTACCTTCTTAGGAAGTGTTTGGGGTATGATTTGGGAGGTTAAGTATCTTCTCAGGAAGTGTTTGGATCCATAGGGATATATATACATATATATATATAATAATTATATGTATATATATATACAATGTGGGGCCCCCTAGTTATAAATTGGTTTATAAACCTAGCTATAAACCTTATTATAAAACTATAGTCATTGGTTGATGAACTATATGAGAAGTATGATTGGTTCATGATAGATATATTGGGGTTTCCATACATGGGGTACTCCAATAGATGGATGGCTTATGATGGAAAATCCCAATCTAAAATGGATGCTTTAGGGGTACCTCCATTTCAGGAAACCTCCATAATCATATATGGAACAATGGATGTTCCAGGCAAACAGATGATGTTTTGGTGCGTTTTTTTTTTTGTGAACATCGGGTACAGTATCCAAATATAGATCCATGGTTTATCATCAGTTTCTGAACGAGAGCCATGTTGGTTTTGAACTTTTCCCATGAAAATGGATACAGCTCCATACGGCAAAAAAAAACACGCGAAAAATTGCCACCATGCGGAGTAGTTACCAATATTAATCATGCGCAAAAGAAACACTAGTGACTGGGGGCATGTTTTATTCCTGTATCCCAATGTTATTCATTGTGTAGTCATCATAGATGCTGGTCAATAACAAGGCACATATGAATAATTGACCCAGAAAACTTCTTATGAAATTGTGGAAATAGCTGACCATTGCTCAAAAAAATGGAGAGAAACCTATATTCACTATAGTTAATAGTAACTATATTAACTATACGAATGAACCATAACTATAGTAATAATCAATTAAGTATAGTAACTATAATCAGTTGCAAATCCCTATTCATCCCCCTATTCGGATGCTTAGTAAACTTAGAGATCCTGTGGGAAAGCACAGCACATGTCCCCGGAATTTCTTCATCATGGCCAATTGAACAAAACAAAAAAGCAGAAGGTCGTTGCGTTTTTCACCCATTAATGATGTTTCATCAACCTAGTAATAAAATCGACCACTGGTCAGCCATCTTGAATTTGGCAAGGCACGTTGTAATAAGAATGATGTTCTTCATCTTAATAAACCTATAAATTATGTTTAGCAGACTATTAACACACCATCAACAAACCATAAATCGGTATGTTCATCGACTCTTCATAGTGTAAAACCATGTGGTATCCCGGTGACTCCTTTCCAAGGCGCGTTGTAATACAATTGACCATTCAGAACAAGCCTGACATTAGTAATTGGAAATAGTAGGCCTGACTTTTCCATAAAATCATCTGAAATCACCATGCAATCACTTGGGTATGGGTCAAAATTAGGTACCCCAATAATTGAATGGTTAATACTAAACTAGACATTTCCATCTGTGGTCCCACATCGGTCTTCCATTTTGACCCACATCCACTTGGCGAACTCCGAACTGAACTCCGAACTTCGCCAAGGCACGTTGTAATGCGTCAGGGACTTCTCCGATTCTGCACGTTGGAACTGGATCTTGCCCCCCACCCAGCCCAGGCGCCCGTCGGCGTCGCCCATCCACTGGACATCGCTGGGGCCATAGAGCGGAACACCTGACGCGTCGTTTAATAAATGTGTATATGTAGATATATATTCAGTATATGTTTATATACATATACACAGTATTCGGTATATATATATATGACATACATATATATATATATACACATGATATATATATATATATATATGTCATATATATATATATATGTATGTATGATATCATGTATATATATTATATGTATTTTATATATGCATGAAGGCGTGTATATACGTATATGGTTTCATGTATCATGTTTAGTATATGGATATAATGCATGGTTTAAGGTAGTTGGGGTGAGTGGGATATGGCAAGGAAACTGTGTTTAATATGGGTTCAGTACCACGTTGCCACTAAGAAACCACCAAGAAACTGACAATTCACTCTTGCAAAATTCTGCTGTAAATACTCTCACCCAATTTATCGTGAAGTAGTCAGTTGATGGAATAACGGAATATGGATTCAATCAGCTTCAATCAGCTCCAGTTGGAACATGTCAGGCCTCGTAAGTGATCAAAATAACCATGGCAAGCCCCCGATTCGTTTTTGGATTATATAGACTTAACCCGAACCAACAAACATATCAGACTAGCATACACTAACCTATAAGAAATCATATCAAAATATAACTTATATAATACGCTAATGATGTGGATTCCGATGTGGATATCAAATTTGGATACAAACTACAATTTGGATATCAGTTATCCTTTAAGGGTGTCATTTACATTCAATTATCATCAATAATCATCATATATAAATCCCCAAAAAACACTTCACCCAACTCATCTTAGCTATCCCCAAAAAAACAGCTATGAATTCCATCAAATCCCCTTCTCTGTTCAATTACATAGCAATTTCCTATGTGTTCAAACATGGTTTTCCAAAACTCCAGGGTGCCGAAAAGCCTCACCCAACTCATCCCGAAAACGCCAACTCGCCCAACTCATCCCCACTCAACCACCATTGAATCACAGTATTCTTCAGCAAATCTTCATTAAAACTTCAATAAAACTCGTCGTTTTGGACCCGATCTGCTCCCCATGTAGAAACCAGTTGGATCTGTCCCGTCGCCATCCCATGATACCGCCATTTTTCGTGTCGTTAAATCAGAGTGAAAAATCACCAGTCACCATTGAATCCCAGTAAATCCCATGAAAAATCATAGTTCAATCAGTCGGCGCAGTCATGAGATGTCATGAACATTTCTCATTTGAATCCCTCAAAAATCATAAAACAATATCATGTTTTCTGGATTTGAGTAACTCACACATTTTCCATCATTTTCCATCTTCCCATCCCGATCCTTCCAAGAAAGGAATGACTCTCCCAAGAAAAAACCCAACAATCGATGTTCCCATCCTTCGGTCCATCAATTTCTACAAGGTGGTGCCCCCCAAGTGATGTGAACGTTGGTTTATAATTCCGTTAACTAGTTCGATATATCTACCATAAGTCCTAGTGAAATTAGACTTATAAACCAACTTAGCTATCTTGGGGGCACCACCTTGTAATGATGAATCTCCGGAATATGTGGAATCTCAACCAAATGGTTTCATCATGCTTCATCCAACCCCAACTGATCAACTGATCACCCAATAAACTTCACCCAAATGGCGATGTTTATCCCATTAAATCACCATTTTTCTTGGTTAAATGAACATCTTCCTATGGTTTTCCTATGATTTTCAATGGTTTTCACCACTTTCCCATGGTTTTTCTATGGTTTTCCCATGCTTTTCCCATGATTTTCCAACCAAGGCGCAGTAGTCCTTGATTTTCGCCGTGGCCGCCGAGTCGGGCCCCGCGCTGCCCGTGGCGTTGCCCGCCACCACCGCCAGGCCCTGGGCGTACTTCGTCAGCGTCAGATTCGCCAAGGGCACCGTCAGCGTGGCGGCGCCCGTGGCGTCCACCGTGGCCTACGCGACACGTGGTGAGTTATGTAATGAACATGGTGAGTTCATGGGATTTCATGGTGATTTAATGGGACTTGACTGGTGATTTAATTGGATTGACTGGTGAGTTCATGGTGATTTCCTGGGATTTTTCATGGGATTTAATGATGACCAAAATGGTGAAGTTCATGGGATTTAAAGCAAGAAACATGGTGATTTAAATGGATTTAATTGAGATGTCATGGGACTTAATGGTGATCTAATGGGATTCACTGGTGATTTAATGGGACTTAATGGTGATCTAATTGGATTGAATGGTGAGTTCATGGGATTTCATGGGATTTCACCAAGAAAAATGGTGATTTCCTGGGATTTTTCATGGGATTTAATGATGACCAAAAATGATGACCAAAATGGTGAAGTTCATGGGATTTAAGCAATGAACAAGGTGATTTTTGATGGGATAAAAAAACCAACAGACAGCTTGTTGGGATTTCTGCAACAAAAAGAGAGTCTAAATCCAACCACAATTTTGGATATTGTTGGGATAGAATGGCATCTAAGGGGATATGTGAACTGGAATGCATAAAACACGAGAAAAATAAAGGGATTTCATCAACCTTAATTGAGGGGGAATTAAAGGGAATTAACCAACATAAATGGGTATAAAACCACAAGTGCCAAAGATTACCCTCTGGTAAACTAACATAACTATTGAAAATAACCACTTTTAATAGGTAAATCAACTATAAATGGGTCATTTTCCATAGCTATGTTAAATTACCAAAGATTAATGGGTCTAAAATTCATCACCTCAGTCTCTCCACCTCAGAAGTGGGGTGGAAGAGTGTTTGTATATCTACGTTGAAATGCGTCAGCCAGCCAAGCATAGGGCTGTTACAATCGAATGTTGATGTACCCTCTGGTAATTTAACAAAAAGCTATTGAAAATTGCCCATTTATAGTTGATTTACCTATTAAAAATAGTGATTTTCCATAGTTATGTTAGTTTACCAGAGGGTATCAAACATTTAAAAAACCTCTGGAAGATCTTGAAGATTGACCCAGAAAGCGTATCCACAGATTTCAGCTTCATCAATGGCAATGATCATCCAACCACCGGTCATCCACCAAGGTGTCACCAAGGTGCGATGGTGTCCAACAAGAATCCCGCTCCAGAGATGAGATGGATACCTTAGGAGGACTCGTCGAACTCGCCGAACTGGGGCCCCAGTTGGGAGTGCTTAAGAAATTGATGGCTTTGGATGTGGTTTCTGATATGGTTTGTGTTCTTTTTCTAATGTAGCATGCATGTGGTTGTTCATATGGTTTTTGAATGTGTTTTGATATGGTTGTTAATATTGGTTCAATAACACTAATAAGCAATATGATTGCTTAACATTGTTTTTTTCCCAAGACAAACCATGCTTTTTGGGTCTTTTCAAAGGGTAAATGGAGACAAGTTGGCCATCAAGCACCGTCAGGTTTATGGCAGGTATGTCATACAAAAAATATACAGTAGTATACATGTACATATATGTATATATGGATCAATATATTTAGTATACATGTGTATACATGCATATATATATATATACGTTCTATATATATATGTGATGTGTAATTATCAAACTGATGGGAACTGGGTTTACATAAGCAAAAACAACTGGGGAGCTCCAAATTGTCTAGTTGGAGGACCTTGTCCAGTTCCTAACTTGTTATATATCGAGTACTTCCATGGCCAATCCAAAGGTGCTCACGAGAATTGGGTATTCTGTTGTGCGCATCATTTATTGAATGGGAATTTCAGGATCTTAAAACGGAGGTACTGTACCATATAAGTAAGGCCATATTTTGTGGGGATATTCCCTTACATAGCCCTAAAAAGTAGGCCTTACAATATGGTAGGTACCTCCAATCAATCGGTTCCTGAGTCATGGCCATTCATATGCTTCATAGGAAAACCACAACGTTCACAAACGAAGGTGTGTATATATATATACCCATAGGATCCATGGTGCTGCTATATATGGTAACATGGATCCCATCCATATACCCCAGTCATGTTAGCATTAATATACCAGCACCAGCCGGATCCGTCATGGGATATCAAACAGGGCTTTTTTTTGCATCAGAACCTCCAGAGCCTCCAGAGCATCATCAAGTTGATTGGCAATGGATTTCCTTAAGGAACCCACCAAAAAATCAAACATGTTCCCTACATCGATTCCCCAGTCGTAGTGGATTTATTTCCCATGGAGAAAATACAAATCATCTTCAGCAAATTTTCAGCAATTCATCTATAGATGGGCTCTTTTCCATAGCTTTTTGTTACCGGAGAATACATTCTGCTCTTTACAGCTCCACAAAAATTGCCCACCAGTTGTAAGTTGACTTATAAACCCACTAATCATTGACTATAGTTACATTCCCCATAAACTAACTCATCTGGTTGGTGTTATACCTACCCCTCTGAAAAATGATGGAGTTCGTCAGTTGGGATGATGAAATTCCATTCCCAATATGATGGGAAAGTCATAATCCATTCATGGTTCCAGTCACCACCAAGCAGATATAGCTACATCCCATAAACCTGAGCGCTACTTGCACCAGGTTCATTCCGTATCAACTCCATCGCGAGTCAGGACGGAGGCACGGTTCGCGAGTTGCGTATGTTTCCAACGGGGACCGTTTGGTGGAGCCCAATGGCATGTTTTGTTGGTTTAGTTTCACCCCACTAGTTCGATATATCAATCATAAACCAGAAAATAAGCCAGAAAAAAATGGGGTTGGTTCAGCAAGCTTAGCCCATTAAATCCCATGAAATCCCAATGAAATCCTATCAAATCTCAATGAAATCCCATCAAAGCACACTAGAAATCCCCATAAAACCCCATTAAAATCCCATGACATATATATATATATGTATATATATATATATATTATATTATATATTATATATACCCCACAAAATCCCATGAAAACCCATCAAAAATCACCCAAAATCTCCCAGCCATCTCTGGAAACACAAACACAACTCGTTCCCAGCGACTGTAGAAGCTGATGTCACTCTCATCGGCTGCACAGGTGATCACCGCATCCCCCCCCATGATCCCAACCCCCGGGTCGCTATCTTCAAACCTCGGTGTCGCTGAAGAATGGTGCAATGTGGGGCCCGTTTCACACGTGATGTGAACGTTGGTTTATAAACCAACAAAAAGCTATCGACTGGCCCCACATTGTAGTAATAATATGTATATATATATATATAAACCCTACTAGCTATAATAATGATTGGGAAAAAAGATATCTGGTTGGTGCTTTTTTCGCCCTACCCCTCTGAAAAATGATGGAGTGAGTTCGTCAGTTGGGATGATTATTCCATTCCCAATATGATGGAAAAATAATCCAAATGTTCCAAACCACCAACCAGATATGAAAAAAAGGTGGAAGTTTTCATGAGAAAATCACGGGAAAATCACCTATACTCAGGTTTATAGTTGGGAAGACTCCATCGAACACAATGATGGATTTTCTAGCTTGCCTGTTTGATGATACCGGAGGGTATGGCTTTTCACTGCTGGTTTTCCTGAATGTTCAATGCACAAACTATTGGCATGTATTCCATAGCTATAGTAGTTTCACAGGCCATTGGTCAAGTAAAACATATTAAAACATGTTCGCTGTGTAATCAACCACCAGAAATACCAAGCATCATGGGGACATAGTGGGGATATCTCATGGTATATTGCAGGGTGGCGACACAGTTTGTGAGCTTTTGGCTAATAAGTAGGCCAAGTGTTGTGTGTATGGTAGACAGTCATATATCTATAGTAAGTGGAATTGTAAAGCAATTTATAGTTGGGGTGTCTGAAAAAAGGGAAACCCCAACCACCCATGGTAAAAAAACGATGTTTTCCGAAGGAAAACTGCTATGAGCGGGGATAATGAGGATAGCCTTCACTACTTAGATGGGCCATGGAGTTAGTTAGCTAGTTAGTAAATGGAATATAGTTGGGATTTTTTGTGGGTTATATCCCCAGTTACTAACCAGGAATCGTTAATCCCATGGCCCATCTAAGTACTTTCAAACAAACCCAAATGGAGGAAGCCTTTAAGGCAAGCAAGAGACGTTTTGCTAATGGCGGATCAACCGACATCCCACCTCTCTTGGTTACACAAAGAATATTTCCCATGCTATATGTTAATGAAATGCTCGATAAATCACCAGGGAAATACATCAACTCACAAAAATCTAGTGGTAAATCAAATCTTTTCTCTCTAAATGTCCCAATCTATGCGTTTTTCAAATGGCGCTACGCCATCCCCCGTCCCGTCGCCAAGGCACGTCAAGGCCTGTGGCTTGTGCACTGGAGGTCGCGAACCCTCATAGGTTGACGCCAAGATCAAGGCACTTCGGGCGTTGATGCGCCCGCCCGTGGCGCTGCTGTTTTGAAGCCTCGCTGTGCACGCGATGCACGCGCGTGCTGGGAGCGTGTTGGAGCGACAATCAAGGGGATTTCATGGTGGAAAATGTGAAAATCAATGGCTTGGTTAGTGGTATAGTTGCTGGTTGTTATTGGATTATGTGATTTCATGTGAACAATAACAATGGAATTCAAGAGGATTTAACAAAACAAGAATCGGGACTTAAATGCAAACATGAATGAATGGAAAGCAATGGGGATATAACCAAAAAAGGTGATGGTTGGGTACATCTGAAAATGTCTGTGATTGACCCCCAAGATTGCATTTTTAATCGTGAAAAGCAGCCAAACACCCATTGGTTTTTGGAGGTGTTGGCACTAACCCTATTTTCAGGGGAACAAAAAAAACAAATAGACCTTGACCATCACTTCACCTTTTCTTTAGTGTATTATGTAAGACCCACGTGTGAGGGAGAAACACACCTTCTTCACCTGGGAAACTTTACCTCTAAGGCATTTAGAGGATTTTAGAGGTAACACAATGCTGGCTTATTTTCTTTAGTTATCCTACAGCTCAAACACCGAGACTGAGACTGTCAGAAAATTGTAGGGGTCTAAACACCTTCGAATTGAGGGTATAACTGGAGCATTAAGGCTTATGAATTGATGATTCCAACATGTAACTACTAAGTGGTGCCCCCGGTCGATAGCGTTCAGTTGGTGCACATAACTCCAATAACTATGGTTTATGGTACGTAAATAAGTATACTTACTGGGGTTTACAAACCAACTTATAACTGGGGGGCCCACATTGTATATGGTTTATATGCTTAATATTGGTTAATAATTAGTTAATGATGGTTCTTTGACAATCTGGTCGGTGGTATACCTACCCCTCTGAAACATATTAGTCAGTTGGGATGATTGTTCCCAATATATTGAAAAATAAAAAATGGTCCAAACCACCAACCAGTATTGACTATATTAGTTAATAATTGTTAATAATGATTGGTTAACATGGCAAATATCTCTTAATTAGTTCTTAATAATTCGCCCTGTGGATCCAAACACTTCCTGAGAAGATACTTAACCCCCCAAATCATACCCCAAACACTTCCTAAGAAGGTACTTGGATCCATAGGGTAGTTAATAATAGTTGAGAAGTTAAGAATGGAACATCATGAACATTGCAGCCATCTCCTTTCGCCCAAGCCGCGCATCTTCTCGTGTTGCTGAGTCCAAGATGATTTCGATGATCTGGCGCGCGCAAGGCGACATTTTTAGAACACAAAACACGTTGAATGCAAACGACATCAACCAATGGGGAGACTTATTTGGTTTTGATTAGATGTAATAGAATTGAATGAGATTTAAGGGAGATGTTCTGGGATTTTGTTTTATGGGTTTTAATGTTTTTAATGGTCATTTGTATAAATCACAGGTGCGAAGTGCGAAGCAACAATTCCTGAAGATTCAATAGGGATTTACTAAGGCCATGATACAGTTGCCAATTTTCCTATGGTTTTCCTATGATTTTCCTATGGTTTTTGTTAAGTTACCAGAGGGTACATCCCATGTTTGCTGCCTCCCCAGTCTTCCCGGTGCCCCCGCGGTGCCCCGGTGCCTGTGGCATGGTCAGCTGCGGTCGGAAGAGCCAAATCAGCGCCGCCAGACCCGAGACGTGTGGCGTGGCCATTGAGGTGCCACTGAGGGAGGCGTATTTGCCCCCCGGAACTGTGGAGTAGATGCCGCTTCCTCGGCGGATTTTCTGGCTATATTTAGATGGGCCATGGAGTTAGTTAACTAGTTAGTAAATGGATTGTAATTGGGATATAGGAGGTTATATCCCCAGTTACTGAAGATTACCCTCTGGTAACTTAACAAAGACCAATTCGGAAAATCATCGGAAAACCATAGGAAAAGATGGGCATTTCCAGATTTTGCTAGCTGATTTATGACAGCGAACTGAAACATGGTCATTTTCACTGGGTAAATCCACTATTTCAATGGCCATTTTCAATAGCTATGTAAACTGGTTCCTCGGGGGATCAAAAAAGCTATAATATATACTTAGATGGGCCATGGGATGTTGCCGATTCCTGGTTAGTAACTGGGGATTTGTTAACCTCTTATATCCCAATGAAATAATCCATTTACTAACTAGTTAACTAACTCCATGGCCCATCTAAGTAGATCATGTATAATAAGTATAGATATCATACAGGGAACCTACTGTACATAATATTATATAATACTGTGTATATTGGAATCGAAGTATAGTGATGTAGATGTACATTTCTACATGCATTGTAAATATGGGTGAGCTTTGCCCCTGCGTTGCTTCGCGTTAGCAGTGTCCAAAAGTCCTTGATGTTGGTGTAAAGAACATCAATTATATCTGCGGAGTTATATCAAGAATATCTGGGGGAGTCTTGGGTAGGTAGATATGTATATACTATATCATGGATTTGCTTAAGGAACCACGAAAAAACAACAAATGGATTCCCCTTAAATTTAGCCTTTCCATTGATTCCCCAGTCGTAGTGGATTTCCCAATCCAAGATATATTAATGCAGTATATATAAATATATGTATATATATATATGGGTGTTTCTGACTGACTTCACCATGTAAAACTGTGGGATTAGATGGACCACCGTTGAACCATTGAAAAAAATATAACAAAGCTGCAAGTGATGAGGTAAATATCATGTACAAACTATTGGAAAAATATGTGTTCTATCCTTTTCTATCAGGTTCTGTACGTTTTGGGGCTCTCATAGAATGGGCACAGTTATATAAATCCTTGAAGAAGCACAAGTCACAAGTGGGGATGTGAACGGGTATAATGCACACAAACATGGATAAAATTGTAGAATGGTTTTAATCAGGGATGCAAGATCACAAGACTATATAATTACACAAAAAATATGGGATGTCGCTTCTCTCAGACTGAACTAAGAATGACTGAGCCACCAGTTCAGTGATCATCCTTGAATCAAAAAATATCAAAAACACGGTACCCTTCAAGTGAGCGCGTCCCATCATCCAGCAGATGTTTTCTTGCCGCAAAGGGGCTTGAACAAGGGTAAACATGGGTAAACAATCCCTACAGTTCCAAACACCTTCTGAGATAAAACACCTTCTCAGAAGGTATAACTGGAGCACTAGGGAATAGTAAACATATCATATAGATTTTTTTTGGCGCCCCAAAAAAAGATAGAACGTGTTTCCAAGATGTTATAGATGATATTTATAGCTATTGAAAATGACCATTAATAGTGGATTTTCCCTTTAAAAATGGTGATTTTCAATAGCTATGTTAAATTACCAGAGGGTACTTCATAGTTCCAGGTTCAACAAGTTTTCTATCTTTGTGGGGGTTGCTGTATATATTGAATGTATCTCAACCCTAGTGAGCCCATCAACACCGAAAGGACATGTTTGGTCCTGTTTGATCCACGAAACTTTACAGTAACCTTGAATCACCTGCAAAACACATGTTCTTTACTGGGCATGCCTCCCTTCCCCCAAAATAAAAATCAATTGAAAGCTAGTACAGTATAGAGATTATTCAAGTACACTATCCAAAGGTAGATCCAGTCAAGAAGTCCCACAAGTTGAATGTTTAAGAGCCCCTTTCATCAACTTCGATGGCAGAAATCCCCACATTCGAAATGGATGATGTTCCAGCCATCTTTGATGACCAGGAAATGGGTATATCATGGCATATCCCCATCAATTACTATTACTATCTAATATATCATAATATATCCCAATATCATGGTCTATTAAATATATAATTTACATATATGAAAAAAATATTTCACATTTATTAAATTTATTCACACTTACTATCCCAATATCATTAACTCACATGGTACTCTCTATTTTTATCCCAACAGCTAGCGCCAACATCGCCACCGAGAGTCCGGGTGCTGCGACGTCCACCGATTCCTTGCCATAGCACGAGAAGGAGGACAAGGAGCCCGTCTTTGTGGTCGATGCCTTGGATGATTCGGTGATGATGACGAAGTTTTCCATACAAGGTGGTGCCCCCGGTCGATAGCGTTCAGTTGGTGAACATAACCCTTATAACTAGGACTTATGGTAGATATATCTATAGTTAATGGGATTATAAACCAACTGTCATGGGGGTACCCCCAAAAAAAAATCATCTATGGATCCAGTCGTAGCTTCTTAGGAAGTGGGACTGGGGTATGATGACTGGGGGGTTATATAAGTATCTTCTCAGGAAGTGTTTGGATCCATAGGGATCATTCCCTTTTTTCGGCTTTTGCATGACCTTAAACCATCCAATTCAGATTGGAACTTTCCATGACAACCATCCATTTCAATTGCGAACCATGGTGCTGGTATATGCAAACCTACATGACTGGGTGATTTTGGACAAGGGCAAATGTTGGTAAATATTCCAGCACCATGGAGCATATGGGTATTGAATGGTCTTGAAATGGATGATTTATTTCATGGAAATCCCAATCTGAATTGGATGGTTTGTTTCATGGACAATCCTATCAGATAGATGATTTGGGGGTACCCCCATGACTTCGGAAACCAAACGTATATGGTGTTATGGGGATAGATTTTCCATAGAAGATTCAATTCTGAAGCACCTCTGGGCAAGTTAAGATCAACTTGATCACCTTGAAAAATCAGTCAGGGATTGCAACAATAATGTCCTTTTGGTAAAAATAGAAGGGCCGGTTTGGTATACCATCTATCATCAAACATTTACCTGTTGTTAAAGGGGTTTCTTCAAACCCCTCTATTTTCATCAACCAACCAATGGGAAAAGGACATCTATGGTTCGCAAGAAAGGAGACAAAGTCGTAGTCTTAAGGGAGCCATCTCAAAAAAAAACCAGGTGGGCGATGGCTGTGAAAAAACCACGGTGGTTCGATCTGAATAGCGATGGCGCGGGTCCTGAAGTAGATGGAGGTGTTCTTGAAGATGTGGGATTCCCAAGTCACCACGGGTTTCAATGCTAACATGGTCATCTGGTTGGTGGTTGACCTACCCACCCCTGAAAAATCATGGAGTTCGTGAGTTCGTCAGTTGGGATGATTATTCCATTCCCATATATGAAATGGAAAATAAAAGCCATGTTCCAAACCACCAACCAGATCCTATGGTTTTCCTATGGTTTTCCTATGGTTTTCCTATGGTTTCCCCCCATGACTTGGATGATTTGGGGGGGTTTCCCCCCATGACTGGATGGAAACCTCCAGATTTTGTGGTCACACTCTCCAAATCCTCGAAGGCCTATTCCCAGTGGGCTGCAAGCTGCCACCTCTTTGGGGAGCTCAATGGCAAAAGGGCTGCGCTCAAAACATGTTTTCTTAACAATGCGGGTTGAGAAATGTTGAGTGTAGCTCCAACACTCTCCCAATTCAGGGAATATGAATAGCCATAGCTTTGCTGACTCCCTCTCTTCACCAGATATAGCTGGGTGTTTAAGTTCCCATGTGCAAGGTGGTGCCCCATAGTTAGCTAAGTTGGTGAACATAAGTCCAAGAACTATGGTTTATAGGTGATATATCGAACTAGTATTCATGGGATTATAAGCCATTTATAACTTGGGGGGGCACCACCTTGTGGTGAATTTTTCCTACCCGTTTCACATCGGTTTCCAGTTGCCACGGAAATGATGTTCGACGGCGCATAGTTGGAGGGATAGTGCGGGATGGCATCGTTGTCGGAGCCCTGAACGAAACTTCGCCACGATCCCCGACGTTCGAGATCTAGTGTCGAACAGTTAATGGAAATGGGGATTTAACTAACCATTATACAGAAATGTATAATCTAACTGGTGTTTTATATATAACTACTATAGTTTCTGGTTGCTGGTGCAATTTCACCATCTTGAAAAATGATGGAGTGAAAGTCAGTTGGGATGATGACATTCCCATATATTCTGGAAAAACAACATGTTTGAAACCACCAAGCAGAAACGAACACGAATGGACATGAATATACCCTGAATGCAATTTGTAATTGTAAATAGTATATATATATATATATTAATATATGCTTCTTTTTGGGCGTTGAATTTACAACATTACTCACCATACATGTTTTGACATCATGCTGGGATGATTTCAAAGCAGATCACCAGAACTCATCTGAGATTGTCATATAACTTTACCAACTTTACAAAAGTACTGAAACTTGAGTAACTGTAGCAACAATTAGTAACTATATCACCATACATTGTAAAATATTGTAACTATCATAGTCCACTATATACCACTATCATGCACTATCATCAATAGTTTTGGCTATCATAGTACCACTATATACCATTATATATCACTATATACCACTATCATCCACTATCAGAATTTTCATAGTACTTGGCTGAGTTGTACAAACATCAAGTCGCCTCGTTGCCCGCTGCCGCGATGAACATCACACCAGCGCGCTGGGCGCGTTCAATGGCCACCTGCATCCCGCCAAGCCACGATTTTTCCGGTGCTGTGACAAAGTGGGGATTCAAACCCCCCAAAAAATGGTGATTTAATGGGATTTCAAGCGGATTTTATATATTTTATGGGATTCCATGGGATTTTTAATGGAATTTTTAACGGGATTTGAAATGGAAATTGTGATGTTTGATCGGATATCATAGGATATCGACTCAGTGATATTTCATGGGATAACCATCAAACATTTGAAGTTAGCTAGTTATCGAGTTATTGACGGTGTTTTAGCATAAGCCATGAGGCTTCAGCCAAGAATGGGCACTGTATTCTACCCCAAAAAAAAACCTCCGATGGGCAATACATTGCATCGTCCAAAATCAGCTTTGCAAGCTCGGCACTACAGCTGCATCATGTAAAAACCATCGTAAGACCAACTAAAACCAATCAAAACCATAATCTTAGACTGTCGGTTAAACCAATTGTGGTTTTTGGAGAATCATCGTTGTATCATGTTGTATCCACATGACATGGACATTGATTTTCACAGGAAACGTCACATTTCGGTTCAGTGAACTATATATCACCCATGACGGATCCATGTATGCTGCTATATATGGTGCTCCATGGATCCCATCAATATACGCCCTTTATGTTAGCATTAATATACCAGCATCATGGATCCGTCATGGGTCATGGTTCACGTTGAAATCACCATCTCATGTCATTAATTACATCGTGAAATCCATGGTATTTGTTGGCCATTGAACAATCACCGTCTGACATCCACAAAAATCCCAGTCGGACAGCCGGCTTACCCGGCCGCCGGTAAACGTTCACAAAAAACGAACTGGAAAGATCCACCATGCGATAAACATGGATAAATCCACTATATTTCGACTGGGCCATGGCTTCTATGTCGCTATCATAAATCAGCTATAAATCCCCATGGAAATCCCCATTTTCCTATCCCATAGGATCCATGGTGCTGGTATATATGCTAACATTTGGGGTATATTGATGGGATCCATGTTACCATATATAGCATACATGGATCCTATGGGTATGGATAAATCCACTATTTCGACTGGGCCATGGCTTCAATGTCGCTATCATAAATCAGCAAGCAAAATCACCCATGGAAATATATGAAATCCCCATTTTCCTATGGATTAGATCCACTATTTCGACTGGGCCATGGCTTCAATGTCGCTATCATAAATCAGCAAGCAAAATCACCCATGGAAATATATGAAATCCCCATTTTCCTATGGATTAGATCCACTATTTCGACTGGGCCATGGCTTCAATGTCGCTATCATAAATCAGCAAGCAAAATCACCCATGGAAATATATGAAATCCCCATTTTCCTATGGATTAGATCCACTATTTCGACTGGGCCATGGCTTCAATGTCGCTATCATAAATCAGCAAGCAAAATCACCCATGGAAATATATGAAATCCCCATTTTCCTATGGATTAGATCCACTATTTCGACTGGGCCATGGCTTCAATGTCGCTATCATAAATCAGCAAGCAAAATCACCCATGGAAATATATGAAATCCCCATTTTCCTATGGATTAGATCCACTATTTCGACTGGGCCATGGCTTCAATGTCGCTATCATAAATCAGCAAGCAAAATCACCCATGGAAATATATGAAATCCCCATTTTCCTATGGATTAGATCCACTATTTCGACTGGGCCATGGCTTCTATGTCGCTATCATAAATCAGCAAGCAAAATCACCCATGGAAATATATGAAATCCCCATTTTCCTATGGATTAGATCCACTATTTCGACTGGGCCATAAATCAGCAAGCAAAATCACCCATGGAAATATATGAAATCCCCATTTTCCTATGGATTAGATCCACTATTTCGACTGGGCCATGGCTTCTATGTCGCTATCATAAATCAGCAAGCAAAATCACCCATGGAAATATATGAAATCCCCATTTTCCTATGGATTAGATCCACTATTTCGACTGGGCCATGGCTTCTATGTCGCTATCATAAATCAGCAAGCAAAATCACCCATGGAAATATATGAAATCCCCATTTTCCTATGGATTAGATCCACTATTTCGACTGGGCCATGGCTTCTATGTCGCTATCATAAATCAGCAAGCAAAATCACCCATGGAAATATATGAAATCCCCATTTTCCTATGGATTAGATCCACTATTTCGACTGGGCCATGGCTTCTATGTCGCTATCATAAATCAGCAAGCAAAATCACCCATGGAAATATATGAAATCCCCATTTTCCTATGAATTAGATCCACTATTTCCACTGGGCCATGGCTTCTATGTCGCTATCATAAATCAGCAAGCAAAATCACCCATGGAAATATATGAAATCCCCATTTTCCTATGAATTAGATCCACTATTTCCACTGGGCCATGGCTTCTATGTCGCTATCATAAATCAGCAAGCAAAATCACCCATGGAAATATATGAAATCCCCATTTTCCTATGGATTAGATCCACTATTTCGACTGGGCCATGGCTTCTATGTCGCTATCATAAATCAGCAAGCAAAATCACCCATGGAAATATATGAAATCCCCATTTTCCTATGGATTAGATCCACTATTTCGACTGGGCCATGGCTTCTATGTCGCTATCATAAATCAGCAAGCAAAATCACCCATGGAAATATATGAAATCCCCATTTTCCTATGGATTAGATCCACTATTTCGACTGGGCCATGGCTTCTATGTCGCTATCATAAATCGGCAAGCAAAATCCCCATGGAAATCTATGGAAATCACCATTTTCCTATGGATAAATCCACTATTTCTATGGTCCATTTTCAATAGCTATCATAAATCAGCTATAAATCCCGTGAAATCCACATTTTCCTATGGATTAGATCCACTATTTCTACTATAAATGGTCATTTTCAATAGCTTTTTCTATGGAAATCCCAGGCCGGGTATGGAACTCCCATGGACCACGTCGGACTCGGCACCCGCATGGCCGAGGAGGATCCGCCCCCGCCCCAGGAGTTGCTGGTGATCTTGGCACCCATGGCCACAGCCTCGGCAGGTCATTTCGCTTTGGAAAAAAGAGAAAAAAGTGGTGATTTTCACAGAAAAATGGTGATTTCCATGGGATAAAACACCAGTTTTTGGATAAAACACCAGTTTTTTTTGTGGTTGCCCTTTTTTTGAATGATTTCAGCAAGATTTCATGAAGATTTCAGAGTTCAGAAGGTTTAACTATGTTTAACTCATAGGATTCTCATGGTATTTCATAGGATTGAACTAGGACAAAAATATGCTTGAATAGGATGTCATGATGATTTCAATAGATTTATATCATGGTTTTATATCATAAAAATATACCAAAAAACCTGTTGAAAACTCAAGACCCTAACTTTGAAACAAATGGTTTCAGAAGGTGATTCTGTGTTTTTTTGTTCGTGATTTCATGGTGAATTTATGAGACTGTAATGGGATTCATCAATGGTGATGAAAAATGGTGACTTTGCAAACACTTCACCTGTACATCACCTATACATTCATGATGATTTTTCGTGCAACTGTTCACCAACAACAATGTTTTTTTTTCTGATACCAACAAGCATGCTGATTTCATGGCATAAAAAACATAAACAAGTGTGTTTTTCTTTATGGTGAAGATAAACCTGTAGTTTCAATGGGACCCAATCGCAAAGGGTGAACCCCCCCAAATGGCTAATTGGTCACCCAACCTGGGCCTCTTTGGTTTGTTCTGATGTTTCTTTACAAGGCTAACTTGACATTGTGGCCAAGCATCTTTAAGGAAGATTTGGGATTCCGACCGGTTCTTTACGGTTTATTTTCAGGTTTGTTTGCTACGATGGGTACAGGACTTAAATCGGAATAGTTGGGTATTGACAGGCTTACGATTTCTCTCGCACATGGATCAAGTATCAGTATATACTGGGGATTGGGGGTGAGTTTTTGGCCCTTACCAAAATAAAAGTTTGATTTTGGAACATGAGATGCAAACCTGCTGCCGAAGGTACGGAAATGAGTTAAAAAAAACACAGTACTTCCAACACCCATGGCTGAATCACCATTAAATCATCATGAAATCACAATGAAACCTCCATGTTTGTTGGCCAATTCCATGAATTCACCTGTTTTCATGAGTTTTCATCTGGAAAAAACAGCAACCGAAGCATCACCCGAGGTACGTAGTTCATTCAAAATCATCAAGTCACCATGAAATTTCATCTAAAATCATCATGTGTCCAACCAACATCACCATGTTCTGTTGCCAAAAATACACATACACCATAAAATCCCAGTCCAAAGCCAGGTCGAGGCGCGTAGTTCAGGCACTTGATGGCATCCGACGTGCGGCCGCCCCCTGAAGCGCTCAGGAATTTCAGCGCCATCAGCCGCACGCCGGCCCAGGCCACTCCGGCCACGCCCTCGGCATTGTTGCCATGGCCTGTGGCTGTGATGGCTGTGATGGCGGCTGGGCCGTTAAAATGGGTGATTTTTTGGGGGATTTCAACCGGGAAAAACGGAAGTATTATGGGATTAAACCAAAGAAAATGGAGGTTTTAGGGGATTTAACTAAAGAAAGGATAGAGGAAGGAGTGTGATTTGTTGGTTTATATCTGACACACCCCGGATTTATCTTAGTTATGTATATCTATTTATAATTCATGGTGTGAAACTAGGCCAACTTAGCAAACTATAGAGGGAACCACAAAGTATTGGATTTACCTCATCCTGATATATACGTGTCTATACGGTGTATATATATATATATTTATATATATAATATACATACAGTATATAGAAGTGTTTTTGTAAATCTCATTATCTTCCACTGTATTATGTCAAAAAACAATAAAAATCATATATCCAACCCATATGCTCCATGTATAAGTATATTTACCTACATCTATAGGTCATTTATGGGGTAAAGTTGGTAAATGACCCAAGTCTCTTGGTCAATCCCCTGTCGCACCTGCTATGGTCCCAGCGCAGTGCGTGCCGTGCATCTGGTCGTCAAACGGATCCCCGTCGTCGTTGGCAAAGTCCGCGCCGTAGACGTCGTCGATGATGCCGTTGCCTGGTAGTGCCAGGTGGTGTTCCCAGAACTTCTTCGGGATTTCGCTTAGTCCAGCTTAGTTGCTTGGAAGAATTACTTGTAACTGGGTGCCGGTATAACTACCTCCATTACTGGCCACTTTTGGTGTGTGTATATATATAATATATATATATATAATGATAAAATAGATCCAACATATTTTATGTATCTATTCGTACCCCATACAGCCCATACAGTAATACATCTTAGTACGCCCTTAATCTTGGTCTCCAATCCGCCAATGCCATGGTCTCTGTGGTCCAAGTTGCCATCGTCATCGATTCCATTGTCCGGGATTTCGTTTGGATTGGTCCACATCCTCTCCTGAGTGAGCGACATCAGATGCTCGGCTTCGAAAACTCATTTTTTTCGCTTGTATGGCACAGGCCATTTTCGAGGTACTGAACATGTTGATAAATATGTGCTTTTTCTGGAGCATCTGGGTAAAGAAGAAAACACAATGGAATGACTGGTTGGTGGTATACCTACCCCTCTGAAAAATATGAGTTCGTCAGTTGGGACTATTCTTCCCAATATCGGACAAGTCATAAAAGTCATGTTCCAAACCACCAACCACATGAGAATCGTAACCCCAAACAAAAAAAAACGCTGGTCCAGCCGATGAGGGTTTACCATTTGCCAAACATCAATGCTATCAGGGATAGGAAACATGCAGCCAGAAAGTCTATATACAATCTATGGCATCTATAATACATCTAATTCACCATCTAAATCAACTATCTAGGAAAAATACCCAAATTCGAGGAGGACCAACATCTGGCAGACATGATTCAGGTGCGGGAAATTCATGGCCTATATGACTATCATGGGCTCAAAAGATCAAAGCAGCACCGGCAGGACCTTTGATAAAATGCCCGGAGCATGTCTGGCAAAATTGGGATCATCATCCCAAATTTCATTGAACATATTTCAGAAGTTAAAACTACCAACATCCACCAGATAAACTGCAGTTCGTCAGCTCTAGAAGCCAGTTATTTTTATGGTGACTTCACTAGGGCCATAACATGCCATAACTGTGCCCAGCATCTTTGAGATCTTGATGCGTGTAGTCAATGCCTGTGTCGATCACTGCCACCACCACGTTGTTGCTGGGCGGTGCGGGGAAAAATCGCCACGCTTCAACCGCGTCGATGTCCTGAGACGACAAAAACGCGTTGGGGATTGGTCAATCCAAAGCAATGATGTCCGTTGGGAAAAATCGAGTTGAATGGGGTTTGACCTCTTATAAATAAAAAAAAAGATTCATATTCATATTCATCATCATCATCATCATCCTCATCCTCATCATCATCATCATCATCATCCTCTATACATGGTTTCACTTTATCATCATCTACAATTAGTATACTGGTCACACAAACCATCTATAGAAAATTGCATGTCAAACAGCAATTTTAGGTGTTGCATTGATATGCATTTATCATCATCTACCTATTGCTTGTTGTATTACTGCTTCACCCCTCTGTTCATCAACCAGTGGAAAAAAAGTTGGACATCGATCCGGATCCGTCAGGTTGAATTTGGCACTTGGAAGGGCCCACAACAGCCGATGAGATTCCAAAGTGACCAGTTGATAGATGGTTTATCCCATTATTTGTAGGGTTTTAACCATCCAAGCTGGTGCAGGATTTCTTCCATCCACCGTATTTCACCTACTTTGATGGCAGCCATTCTGAATAGGTCCGCCGCCGTTTAATGATTTCCAAAGGATTGGTTTCACAGGGATTTTTTTCACCGGAAACCCCATAGAAATCATGGGAAAATCGATGGTTTCCGGTTAATCCATTGATATGTCCAAACCCAAATGCTCCATGGTGCTGGAATATTTAGCTACATTTACCCCAAAAATGACCAAAATGTAGGTAAAAATTCCAGCACCATGGAGCATCTTCCCAACCCGCCAGCCGTTGAACATCACTACGTTTTTGGGGCTGATTTTTCTTGAAATCCTGGGCACCAATATGAATGTGGCCAGTTGACCAGGACTTCTTACAGCATCCTGTGGTTCTATGATGCAACGTACACCCTCCGGTATATTAAAAAAACAGAACAAAAGAACGTGTAAAACCAGTGATGTTCGAAGGAACATGACTTACACTTACACATGATTAGTTTTACGAATCTACCCTCTGGTTATTTAACATAGCCATGGAAAATGGCCCATTTATAGATGATTTTCCCATTAACACCTCCATTTATAAGGGTTTTCCATGGCTATGTTAAATAACCAGATGGTATGTTAACCTAGTGGAGGCCAACATATTCATGCAATGACTTTGGGTTGGATTTGGTGAACATAGACACTCTATTGACCGATCTTAATTGATGATGGTGACGCATTCTTTTCCGCGGCCAACTTAGATCCCCTAAAAACGTGCTTTCTCAAGCTAATTCGTATACAATCCTGATGAATTGGCTGATTAAGTTGTACTAAAAGTTGGACTAAAGTATCCATCCAGTCCATTACCCTCTGGTAAACAAACATAGCCATTGAAAATGGCTCATTTATAGTGGATTTTCCCATTAAAAATTGTGATTTTCCATAGTTATGTTAGTTTACCAAAGGGTATGATCCTGAAAATCCCGCAAACACTTCTGGTTTGTGGCTGCTCATCATTGTCATCTGCGGAAGAAACAACTGAAATCGGTGAAAGCCTCCAGGAGAAATGGACTACATGGACATCATCTGTTTAATCAATGGCCATGACTCAGGAACCTAAATTGGAGGTACCTACCATATATATATATATATATATATATATATATATATATATATGGCCTATATAAGGCCTAATTTTCAGGGAATATCCCACAATTCATATGGCCAAACATATGGTACGTTTACGTACCTCCATCTGTTGGATTCTGTTTCATTCCCATTGATTTAATTAATTGGCACCCATTGGGAAGTACCTCCCACTATGACAAAACTGCCGGGATGGCTTCCGGGTGATTTTGGACAAGGGCAAATGTTGGGATTCATATTCCAGCACCATTTTGTTTGCATATGGGGTATAGGGCGGACCTCTCGTTTTTTTTCGTCCCATTTATGCAACAAATATATATATATATAGGGCTAATAACCAGCCATTTGGTGAACATATGGCCATAACCACCAGGTGAATTTGGGTTTCTACCAGCGGTGACACCGTTTACGCCGGGCATCTCGACCACCGAAGTGGTTCATGCCCCAGAGTTTTTCAAAAGATTCATCGTTTGGGATCACCTCAGAGACAGTTTGTTGTCACGTGCCGTTTGGATCGGGTTTTGTAACGACGACATGTTTTTTGGACGATGTTGAAAGATGTTGAAGTATGTTGACATCACTAGGTTGGCTGTTAGATTTATACCGTGTAATATATATATAATATATATAATATATAATATATATGTGTGTATATAATATATATGTGTGTATCTATTATATACAGTATATATATGATTATATATGTATTATATTAGTTCATGGGGTCTAGAAACCAAGAAACAAAAGTAGGAAAACACCACCTTCTAAGGGGGTACTGGGCACTCTCTGGCAAATTCACAGAAGGAGATGGAAAAATCCATGGGTTTCCCCCCAAAAATGGCGTGCTAAGGGGAAATCAAGCAGCAAAGGGGGACAGTTAAAACATGTTAAAACTTGACCGACCTGCGAGTTGGCTGCTCTGAATGGGTCAATCTTCAGCATTTTGGGGCGAACTTTCAACAGCAGCTTAGACAAAAAACACGAGTTGAAATATGAGTGAAATGTCATGAACTTTTCGGTTGCTGGTGAAGAATTTAACCACTTGCGAGATGTTCAACCAGTTCCAACATTAAATCATATGAGGAGTCATACATTTCCCAATGGGAATTGACCAAGCGTAGATGCCCCGACCAAAAAAAGAACACGACTAGCTGGTTAGTATATGTCCCGATGTCCCTGTTTAAAGCGTATGATCAAAACACATGAAACTACCCAACTACCAAATGTTTCCTCAGTCACTCAGTCAGTATCTTCTTTGTATCCCAGTTATATTCCCATGATATCCTGCTATGGTTGTTTATAGCTGGTACTATTCCCATGTTAATATAGGTTGTAGCCTCCTAATGTCGGGGGTCCCATTAACAGACACCCATTGGCCATACCATCATCTTACTGGTGCTGAACGTAGGGAGTTTTCGGGAATGATCCATATATCATCACTAGTAATGTCATCATCCCAGCAAACCCCAAGCAACCCATCCAGCAACCCTGCGTTTAGCAGCACCAGTAAGTCATTTCTCTTAGAGTTAAATCCCCTGAAAAACCGTCATTTTTTCTTGCTAAAGTCCGATTAGATCACAGTTGCTGGTGAAATTCCATCAAATCACCATGTTTCTTGCTGAAATCCCAATAAATCACAAATAAATCACAAGTCTCAACCTGGTTGAAAAACATAAAATCCACGATATAAATCCCATTAAATCCCATTAAGTTCCATTCAAATCCATAAAATCTTCCCGTTAAATCCCATTCAAATCCATTAAATCACCATGAAATCCAACAAAATCCCCTTTAAATCACCATGAAATCCTATTACATCCCATTAAATCACCATGAAATCCCACAAAATCCCCTTTAAATCACCATGAAATCCTATTACATCCCATTAAATCACCATTGCATCCCATCAAAATCACCATTATATAACTCCCTCCAGAATCTCCACCTCCACATCTCAACCAACCAACCAGAGTCGCCGTGTCCCAGCCGTGCACCGTGGTGACGTTGAACTTCTCCCAGTCGTCGATCTCCTCGCGGTCCGCCGTGGCCACGCCCCATTTCGGGTGCTCCGCGGCCAGGTACTTGTCCGAGGACTTGCTACGAAGCGACACGCTGCCATCCTGGGCCAGGAGAGCAATGGAAATTCCAGGATCCAACAGATGGAGGTACGTAAACGTACCATATTTTTGGCCATATGAATTGTGGGGATATTCCCTGAAATTTAGGCCTAAAAAATAGGCCTTATCTATGGTAGGTACCTCCAATCAATCGGTTCCTGAGTCATGGCCATTGAGGAGAGACAGAAAAAATCGCTATATGGGAATCACCATGGAAGCCGCATATAAAAATCGAGTTATAAAAGCCATGGTAAATTTTATGGCAGCCAAAAGTTTCAATCCAGCCCCGTTTTCCTCAGCCAAAATCACCATGAAATCACCATGAATCCATAGGTAAAGTGTTGAGTTTAAACTGTGGAATCCAAGGTTAAAACCATGGTGAAAAGCCATGAAATCACCCAGTAAATCTCCATTGGATGTACCCCATCCCATCCCATGCACAGTCTGCTTGTAGAAAATCCCATTCTTTGTTCAGTCAGATCCCATCAAAAATCAACGTCAAACTCAGTCAAACTCCACAAAATTGTTGAGTTAAATCAGCATTAAATCACCATTTCAATCCTATTCAGTCACCACAATTGGCTAAGGTCTCCATAAAATACCATAGTAAATCATCTAGTAAATCCAAAAAAATACCATAAATCATGTAAATCCAGTCCCCAGTAAACTCTCTGCCGGTCTCCTTGTTGTAGATGAATTTGAACTTCTCAAAGTCATCCGCCACACCATGTCCTCGATGCCAGCACGCGATGCGTCCACTGGGCGTGGTCACCAGGTAGGCTCCGTGCTGATTCTTCAGGGACACGTAGCCTGCAAAACGCAGCAACGTTTGGCTTTATGTTTGGGGATTTAAAAAGGATTACCCAGCAGAAATATAGGTACAGAAATGTTGATTTAGTACGATTTAGTGAAATTTCATGGTGATTTAATGATCTTTAACGGTGGATTTGATGATGAGGAGAATTTGATGGTGATTTGCGGGTGATTTTCGTGAGCTTTTTGATGGGATTCAACTGATGCAACTCGCCATTTTATTGGGATAGAATTTTGGTGAACGAACAAGGGATACCCTCTGGTTATGTCAAAAACCATAGGAAAATCATAGGAAAACCCATAGGAAAATGGGCATTTCATGGGATTTATAGCTGATTTATGATAGCTATTGAAAATGACCATAGAAATAGTGGATTTACCCATTGATAGCATGGTGATTTTCCATAGTTTTTTGTATGTTTACCAGAGGGTAAATGGAGGGTGAATGGCATAATGGGATGTCGTGGTGATTTACAGTAACTATCAAACATGGTGACTAATAGGAAGTAACCGCACTTGGGTGATGGGTCAACATCTATGATGTTCAATGACGTTCCATCAAATTCGGGGCATGAATATCCAGCCCATTTTGATGCGAACAGAAGGGTACCAGGGGGTTTTGATCCATCTGCAAATAGGAACATGAGGTTGCAGATTTTAGACCCAAGTTGTCCGCAGACCCACAAGAGGATGAACACAAATCATCAAAATCATCAAAATCATCCATTTTTTCCAACCATACCCCAATTTTCGGGCACCCAACCATAAACCAACTCCAGGCCCATAAACCAACCATAAACCAAGCAACCATCAACGTGGGGCACTACAAAGAAACGTGTGTCCTGGTGCCGGGACATCATCTGCAGCTCAAATCTGATCTGAAATCCGCCATGAAAAAATCCCTTACCCTCTGGTTATGACTAACATAGCCATGGAAAATCCCAACCATAAATGGAGGTTTATTAATGGGAAAATCATCTATTTCTATGGGCCATCTATACCATGGCTATGTTAAATAACCAGAGGGTAACTATCGTGTCATTCCATGTTCGGGATGACTTCCCCGCAACAATCTCCGCGTCCTTCGCAAAAAAACATCATTTGGAGTGAATTTAATCGACCGTTTCCCACTTGGAGATGGAACAAAATCTATTACCATCTGGTTATTTAATATAGCCATGGAAAATCACAATTCTTAATAGGTGAACCATCTATAAATGGGCCATGTTCCATGGCTAAGTTTACCAGAGCGTGTATGTATATTATATGTATATATATTAGGGCCACGGTCAATATTTAGTATATAGCTCCAAGTCATCAATTTTTGAAGAGTGTATTATCGCTTTTCAGGTTTTGGGAATATAGCAAATGTAATCGTTTTTTGAAGAGTGAATTATCGTGTTCCAAGCCCCAGCTCAATTTCCAAAAAATAAAGATGTCTCGAATACTACTTTCCATTACGGTAAATTTTGGCTGTATAGCTCATATATACAAGGTGGTGCCCCCTAGATAGCTAAGTTGGTGCAAATAGCTCCAATAACTATGGTTGATAGGTGATATATATATATATAATTAATGGGATTATAAACCAACTTATAACTTGGGGGGCACCACCTTGTACCATATATCTGGGGCCGATAGCATCCATTCACAAGCTATATTGATGTTATCCAAAAACATTTATCAGTCTTATCCACTTACATCCCTTTAGTTTGGTAGCTTAAATCCCTATGAAACATGGTGAAAAATCAATCCCCAAACTCATCATCAAGGATCCATGGTCTTGAAGACTGTTCATTTAAAGCACAAAGCATTGCTGTGAAACTTGAAACCACTGCCACTATCCCAATTATCATCTGGTTGGTGGTATACCTACCCCTCTGAAACATAGGAGTTCGTCAGTTGGGATGATGACATTCCCAATATGATGGGAAAAATAATCCATTCATGTTCCAGTCACCACAATCAGTCATCCATTGATCCAGTGGAATGACTATAGCCCAATTATATCCCAGTGGCTACGTACTGGGTATCCCACCGCCCGCTCGCAACAATCTCCTGATGCTCCATGCTGGGGTAAAAGCCTACGGCCCCCCAGCGCATGGCCGCAAGATATCCACCGTGCCAGCTGAGGAGAGAAATGGTGCTGAAGCCGTGTCGTTCTTTGTCGATGGGCGGTGGTCGGTCATCACAACACTCCTGAGCGACCACATTTTTTGTAGGCGATGCGATGCTTAGCCAGAAAAATGATGGTTGAAGGGGATTTCACCATGAACAATGGTGATTTAAGGGGATTTAACATGATTTCACCATGAAAAATGCTGATTATTCATAGGATTTCTGTAAACATTTTTTTTTGCAAGTGCATCCCAGGAATCCCAAAAGTTGCTAATAACTGGCATAACTGGCGCAATTCTACAAGTGGCTTATGATATGCTACTGGGATGCCACTTAGCTACTGGGAAGTATGTCAGAGTCACGTCAGGGGGTGAACTAACCCCAAAGCCACACCCCGGCGGATTTTTTTCTGGAAATTCTTCAATGGTTGGTGGATTCGAGAAACTTATAATCAAGAATGATAAATAATATGGGTTGGTGGATTATGAGAATTGACTATGGTTGGTTGAACCACCAATTATGATAAAGCTATAATTATCTGATTATTGATTAGAGAAACTCTCTGAGTATGACATTATCAAAATCAATAATTATAATTACAATGAATCAATATTTCCCTAAGATATAATGTCTCATGTATCAATCTAATTTATAATGATAGTTTAATCATAATCTGAATATAATTTCCCCAAAATCCTGTGGATGTGGTGTTTTTCCGAAAGATCGCAGGGGCCAGGGCCTTTCACATGGTTTTTTTCGGCGGATTTTTCCTGTTGGAAAGTGCACCATTACTCTGACATTCTGAACACCAAAAACCAAAAGGGATTCAGCGCTGAAATTTGGGTTTGAAATTCTCTGAAATCCCAGGCTGAGGGTAATTATATAAGTTGGTCTATAAACATCTATAAACCTATTAACTGGTTGGTGGTTGAGCCCTACCCTTCTGAAAAATGATGGAGTGAAAGTCAGTTGGGATGATTATTCCATTCCCAATTAATGATGGGACAGTCATAATCCATTCATGTTCCAGTCACCACCAACCAGTTATAAGCTATAGTTGGATTCCCAGTAAACCCAACATGAAAAAACCGTTGGTTCTGTGCGTCAACCAACTTCGCAACTGGAGGTGACCCCAGGGATTCTCCAAGACACCATCCACAAACCGTCTCTGGTTGGACAACAGGCATCTTGAAGCCCCCAGGCCTGGCTGGTCTCCCGGTGACGTAACCGGTGCCGGCGGTGCCAATCGTGAAAGTTAGCGCTGGTGAACTCTAGAAGAACTATACCCTCTGGTTATTGAACCTAGCCATGGTATATATGGCCCATAGAAATAGATGGTTTACCTATTAAAAATGGGTGGATTTTCCATGGCTATGTTGAATAGCCAGATGGTATATGGTTTATGGAATATCTATAATTCTATGCCTATGGATCCAAGTACCTTCTTAGGAAGCGTTTGGGGTATGCTTTGGGGAGTTAAGTATCTTCTCAGGAAGTGTTTGGATCCATAGGGATAGTTAATGGGTTTATACAGTAAAACAAAAGTTCACATCACGTTTGGGGGCCCCACATTGTAGCTAAGTTGGTTTACAACTGGTAGATGTTTATCTGAAGGTATGGTTGTGGTTATATAATATAAGGGATGTTAAGGGGGTCTATAATACCAATTTATGACTACGGGGCACCACTTTGTACGTACAGTATGGGTCGTCAAACATCTTTTTTGCTCATCAAGAATCTCGATTTAACGTAACGTTTCTTCATCAGGCTATTCAAGCTACAGTATATTATAGATTTTCCAGGTTTCTTCATCAAGCTATTCAAGCTACAGTATATTATAGATTTTCCAGGTTTCTTCATCAAGCTATAAGTCCAACAAGCTCTGCGGATTTCAACAAGTGGGGAGGTCCACAGCCAGTGCCAAGCAGTTTAGTCAATTCCCTAATGACTCGACAACTCGACGCCAGAAAAGTCTACATAAAACTTATGAAACGATCAATGGATTCGTTTCACAGGGAAAATTTACTGGTTTAAGCCCCATAGAATTATTGGGAAAATCTATGGTTTCCTGTAGTTATATACATCATTTCATCATTAAGTCTATCTCTTGCACTACAAAGCGCTTGGTGGATCTAAACCTGGCACCTACAGTATCCTCCCAGCCACGATACCTCCACGGTCTATTGCTGGCCAAAATCATCCAACAACTTCACAAATATCTTTTAATATGTATATAAATCTGATAAATCTTACAAATTGGATGATATTATATCTATACTATGCACTACTATATTTGAGTACTTGTAATTACAATATAATATCATATCATATCTTAATTTATGTTATCTCATGTTATGTTATTTTATTATATTCAATATCCACACCAGTAAAAAACTCAACATGCCAAGCAACATGCCCAAAACTCACCGTGCCCCGTGCCCCGTGCGCGCCGCACCTTGCAGCGTGGGTTGGCGTCACACATCTCCGTGCTCTGTGGTGTCGGGCCGCGCGGCGGCTTGGGCAAGTCATCCAGCTGAACCCAGGTATCCGGTACCGCCGCTTCCACGCCCTGCTGCGTCTGAAGCGCCTGTGGAAAACACGGCAAAAAGCAAAGGAAAGGCCGAAAAAGTGTGGTTTTTCGCTAGGAAACACTAGGAAACACTCGTTGCGTTTGTAGATTTGAGAAAAATCTCAAATCAGGACGAAGATCTGTGTAACTTGTGACCATGTTTAAAGCTTGTGATGACTTAAAACTAGGTGATACTTTTGAAACAGAATATGAATATATAATTTTTATGTACAGTAACATAGACCCGGGCAAGCCGGCGGCGGAAGTTTCCCAAACATAAATGACCTATAGTTCAAAGACAACCTGTCCCGACCGTGTCCTTCCCTCGACACTCCACACCTCACACTGCACACTGCACTCTTCGCACTCCAAACTTCAAACTTCACACTCCACACTTCACACTCCACACTTCTCACTTCTCACTGCTTCCTTCACACTCCAAACCTCACACTTCACACTTCACACTGCACACTTCACACTTCACAGTCCACACTTCACACTTCACACTTCACAGTCCACACTTCACACTTCACAGTCCACACTTCTCACTTCGCACTTCACACTTCACACTTCACACTCCACATTTCACACTTCTCACACTTCTCACTGCTTCCTTCACACTCCAAACTTCACACTTCACACTTCACACTTCGCACTCTTCACACTCCACACTTCACAGTCCACACTTCACACTTCTCACTTCACACTTCTCACTTCTCACTGCTTCCTTCACACTCCAAACTTCACACTTCTCACTTCGCACTTCACACTCCACACTTCACAGTCCACACTTCACACTTCTCACTTCTCACTGCTTCCTTCCCACTCCAAACTTCACACTCCAAACTTCACACTTCACACTTCTCACTTCGCACTTCACACTCCACACTTCACTCACACTTCACACTTCACAGTCCACACTTCACACTTCTCACTGCTTCCTTCACACTCCAAACCTCACACTTCACACTTCACACTTCACACTGCGCTCTTCGCACTCCAAACTTAAACTTCACACTCCACACTTCACACTTCTCACTTCCCACTGCTTCCTTCACACTGCACACTTCACACTGCACTCTTCACGCCCCACACTTCACACTGCTCTAAACCTACGTGCAACAAAAAAACACTAGCGCCAAAATGGAGAAAATCTGCTAACAAATCCATTTCGCAGCCTTCATGCAGCCAGTCCAAGACGATGTACGAGATCCAGCTGCAAAAGACATTACGCATGCAGCCAAAGCAAGAAGCAACCTTGACGCAGCCATTCCAATGATCTGCGGAGACTGAGTTGCAAAGCACAATAGAACTACGCGCGACGGCGTCGGAAATTGTAGCTCCAAAACCGGATCTCGACGCCAGAGCGAAAAAAAGACGATTTTGAAGCACTTTTTAAAAAGATTTTTAGAAGGAAAATCACTAGCGCCAAAATGGAGAAAATCTGCTGACAAATCACTGTCGCAGCCTTCATGCAGCCACTCCAATACGATTTACGAAGTCCAGCTGCAAAAGACAATAGTATTACGCATGCAGCCACAGCATGAAGCAACCTTGACACAGCCATTACAATGCGATCTGCGGAGACTGAGTTGCAAAACACAATAGAACTACGCGCAACGGCGTCGGAAATTGTAGCTCCAAAACCGGATCTCGACGCCAGAGCGAAAAAAAGACGATTTTGAAGCACTTTTTAAAAGGGTTTTTAGAAGGAAAATCACTAGCGCCAAAAACGCATTTCGTGCGAGACTTCCTTCAAAACTCCATCGGCAACTCCTCCACCAGCACCACTTGCAATCCCATTTACATTGCGGGAACGATCCTACAGTTGCAAATCACAATGGAATTCCATCGGCAACTCATCCACCAGCACCACTTGCAACCCCATTTACATGCGGGAACGATCCTACAGTTGCAAATCACAATGGAATTCTGTCGACCACACATGCACGAAACACAGGTGAAACCCCATTTACAATGCGGAACCGATCCGAACATGATCCGACCACCATGATCCGACCACACACGAGACCGTCTCGCACCCGTCGCACCGCAGAGGTAGATCATCGACGTTCGGGGACGCACTTTGTATGGAAAACATAGGGTTTCGTGCATCTGCTATCTCTCAAAAACGCATTTCGTGCGAGACTTCCTTCAAAACTCCATCGGCAACTCCTCCACCAGCACCACTTGCAATCCCATTTGCAGTGAGGGAACGATCCTAGAGTTGCAAATCACAATGGAATTCCATCGGCAACTCATCCACCAGCACCACTTGCAACCCCATTTACAATGCGGGAACGATCCTACAGTTGCAAATCACAATGGAATTCTGTCGACCACACATGCACGAAACACAGGTGAAACCCCATTTACAATGCGGAACCGATCCGAACATGATCCGAGAATATCCGACCATGATCCGACCACACACGAGACCGTCTCGCACCCGTCGCACCGCAGAGGTAGATCATCGAGGTTCGGGGACGGACTTTGTATGGAAAAACATAGGGTTTCGTGCATCTGCTATCTCTCAAAAACGCATTTCGTGCGAGACTTCCTTCAAAACTCCATCGGCAACTCCTCCACCAGCACCACTTGCAATCCCATTTACAGTGCGGGAACAATTTCTTTGCTAACTCTTTCTGTGACTAACTCTTTTCCTCACTAACTCTTTCTTTGACTAACTTGTTTCTTTGCTAACTCTTTCTTTGACTACCTCATATATCCTGACTAACTCTTTCTTTGACTAACTCTTTCCCTCACTAACTCTTTCTTTGACTGACTCTTTCCCTCACTAACTCTTTCTTTGACTAACTCTTTCCCTCACTAACTATTTCTTTGACTAACTCTTTCCCTCACTAACTCTTTCTTTGACTAACTCTTTCCCTGACTAACTGTTTCTTTGACTAACTCTTTCTTTGACTAATTCTTTCCCTGACGAACTCTTTCTTTGCTAACTCTTTCTGTGACTAACTCTTTCCCTCACTAACTCTTTCTTCCCTGACTAACTGTTTCTTTGCTAACTCTTTCTTTGACTGACTCTTTCCCTCACTAACTCTTTCTTTGACTAACTCTTTCCCTGACTAACTGTTTCTTTGCTACCTCTTTCTTTAACTAACTCTTTCTTTGACTACCTCTTTCCCTGACTAACTCTTTCTTTGACTACCTCTTTCCCTGACTAACTCTTTCTTTGACTAACTCTTTCCCTGACTAACTCTTTCTTTGACTAACTCTTTCCCTGACTAACTGTTTCTTTGACTAACTCTTTCTTTGACTAACTCTTTCCCTCACTAACTCTTTCTTTGACTAACTCTTTCCCTGACTAACTGTTTCTTTGCTAACTCTTTCTTTGACTAACTGTTTCTTGGACTAACTCTTTCTTTGACTAACTCTTTCCCTGACGAACTCTTTCTTTGCTAACTGTTTCTTTGACTAACTCTTTCCCTGACATTCTAAAAGTCCGTAACACGGAAGTTTCTCCCCCTAAACTTCCTTTGATGAATGTGATCATCTTCTGAGAGGACGTTGAGAGGCATAGCATAGTGTACAATCATCTACAACTGGCAAAGTACTGTACAATATAGTTTTTCTCGAAACATCTCAAAGCCAATTTTGGGATCTCCCTTGCTATCCATCTTAAGATCTTAAGGAATTTCAGGATCCTAAAATGGAGGTACTGTACCATATATAAGGCCATCTTTTGTGGGGATATTCCCTTACATAGGCCTTATATATGGTAGGTACCTCCAATTTAGGATCCTGAAATTCCCATAAGTTGGAATATGGGGGTTTCTTAAAATAGTGCTATCCCAAATCATTATAAATAGTGGTATCCCAGATCTTAAGGATTTGGTTTAAAGTCTGCACAGATCAGTGATTTCCCAGCGGATCTTTCTGGGGGGATGGCCTGGCTGAGATTTTTTCCGGTAACCCCAAACCACCAATAATATGTGGCTCTATGATACTAGTAATATGATCAACATCACCTTGCCAGCAAGAAGATACTAATGATATATATATATTATATATATATATAAACCCTACTAACTATAATAATGAGTATTATGAACCATAGTCATTGGACTAACTATAATAATGAGTATTATGAACCATAGTCATTGGAGTTATGTTCACCAACTGAGCTATCGTTTGGGGGTCCCCACTAGTATCATACAGCCACATATTATCATTGCAATTCTACTGCCAATCTTAGATACCCGGAAAAAAAAAAACTTAGCTGGTTAGTAGATAATCCCATTGATACCAAACGACTAGTTAGGAGTGTTTTCTACCAATCAAAGATTGACCTAGATATTTCGGTCAAAGATTGTCAAAGGGCAGAGCCATTTTCAGAGGTCACACTTGAATGAATCATGACTTACCCTCTGGTTATTTAACATAGCCATGGTATAGATGGCCCATAGAAATAGATGGTTTACCTATGAAAAATGGGTGGATCTTTCCATGGCTATGTTAGTGATAACCAGATGGTATCATGACTTGTGACTTGTAACGACTCCGTCCGGCGTCCGCGAATCCGTTTGGCTTTCGGGGCTGAACCGTTTCCTTGAAATCATCACCATGACCTGAACCACTGAACCCCAAAGACTCGATTCCTACCATTGCCTTTTTTGCTGTCTGTACACATGAACATGTGTATATATAAATTACATTATAATATATTTATAGATTTGTCATGAACATGTGGTTGTTACATTGTTGTCACTCAAACCAATGGGCAGTTTATGAACAACAAATGGCTATTACTATAGCCTTGGATATCACCCCCGCGGGACCACCTTGGTTTACTGGATCTGTTCACTTAGGTTCCCCATTTGGGGTATGAATCATTTGGGGAAAGGTTCATTATACAACTGCTACGTATGGCTTTGTCTGAAACTTGGGTACCCAAAATGATGGTCAATCACCAAATTCCCTGCTCAAATTGCCATGTTCAGGGATCGCATATTTTCAGACAGATCCATACCGTGTTTCAAAAGAAACTACATAAAACTGCTAGATCAGATTTGATGAATCATCACCTATCCCTTTCTTAGTGCTTATTCAGCTTATTCCCATGTTTTACTGTTTCAAAAACACAGCAGCAAAATCGCGCAGACGGAAAAAAAAAACATCACCAGCACATCACCACAAACAAAGCACGGCTTGTGGCACCTCCAAGACATCATCTTCATCCTCTGGCGTCTTACAGACCACTACGGCCATATCAAGACCTCTACGGCAGTTCCGTTCCGTTCCGCGGGTCGGATCAAAAAATGTCATGAAAAAATGTGGATTTTGGCCACCAAACATGGAGCTTCAAGTCAAACAAAATCTAACCGTTTTTTTAACGATCAAACATCAGGATTTAAGCAAGGGAAAATTGGATGGACTTTCACCAACAAAAATGCTGCTTCATCCAAATTAGGAACAACTCTAGGAAGTATTACCCTCTGGTAATTTAATATAGACTCTGAACATCACCAATTTTTAATGGAAACTAGTCTTCCAACCCCTGTCTGCCAGGGTCTAGGTTAATTTACTGTAGGGTATATATTAACGAACAATTCAAAGTCGTTAGACCCACCGCACAAAAAAACAAGTTGCTTTCCATTCACCCATCCAACTGTAAAGATATCAAGCATAAATCATGGATGTAGTCGATATAATCCAATTTAAGTATAAAAACTCCATCAACATCTAATGTCATTTACCATTTTCTGCACTAAAATCCAAGTTGTTTCAACCAACAGAGACCTATTGTGTGGGGCCACCTTGTACGGCAATCCAGCCTAGGTGGTCCTGCACGACACTTTGAAGTGACATATTCATAAACATTCCACGTATATATCTACCAACATGTTGGTATTTGTTTAGGTAGATAGTCTTAGATAGTAGATATTGATAAACATTCCGTGCAGCATATGGAGATAGATTCACTATGACAAATTCTGTGCAGCAACGGCTGCTCGGAAGATCAGTGGCCATTTCAGGTACCGATCGAGGTATCTACCATACGTAAGGTCTATGTAAGGGCTATGTAAGGGGATATACCCCTGAAATATGTTTTTTCCAATGGTACAGGACCCGGCGTTTAGGTACCTGAAATTTGAAAACGCCAACTTTCAAGCAATGGCAAAGTGACACAATGAATCTGAGTGTGATTGAAAATCCGACACATAGCACCTCCATTTATGATAATTTATGGCCATGTGAGTGAGAGAATGATGGCAAACCATTACTAAGCGTCAGGCTTGGGGGTGTTTTATTGGGTACCCTAATTATGTTCAAAGAAATCCTACAATGTGGGCCCCCCAGAGATGTTTGTTGGTTTATAAACCCCATTAACTATAGTTATAAGTACCATAAACCATAGTTATTGGAGTTATAAACCAATTTAGCTATCTTGGGGGCACCACCTTGTATATATCATGAATTTCAGGAAGAACACATCATCTTCAACCAGGCATTGAAGCCTTATGGTATGTTTACGTATGTTTACGTTGACCATCCCGTCAATCCAAAAACCCATTTTTTAAAAAAAAAACGGTGTTTATCAACAAACACATATGTAACAAAAACTCATATTATACTCCAGAAAGTAGGGCCCTTTTTAGGGCCCTATTTTAAGTCCAAATAAGCTTTGGACAACCTTTGTGCCAACAAGCTGTGGTTGAGGGGGGGGGTTCAAGGGGGGGGGAATGGAGTTTGTGAGTATAGTCAATTGCTGGTTGGTGGTTTTTTTACTATCTTGAAAAATATTAGTCAATGGGAAGGATTATCCCATATATTATGGAAAATAAACAATGTTTGAAACCACCAACCAGATTGGGTCTAGTCACAGATTCCCCACATCGCCAAGTCGCTGGGCAAAGCTTCTGCCCGGCTGATGCCCGGAAGGGATTCGAGTCGCTTTACACCTGCGACAGGTGTCGCGGGTCGCAGGGAACGTGACAGAGATGACTTGGAGATGACCCTGATCGGTGAAAATCCTTGAAATCCATGTGATCAACCATAACTTTCATGGTGAATCATGGTGATGTAAATGATGTACCATCTGCTTATGACTAACATAGCCATGGAAAATCCCTTCTAAATGGAGGTTTATAGCTGGGAAAATCATCTATTTCTATGGGCCATTTTCCATGGCTATATATGGCTATGTTAAATAACAAGAGGGTATTTCTGATTTAGCCAACACTTGGTACCCGGCCTGGTAAACCTTTACAAGAAACTGATGGGAAAATCACCATGCTATCAATGGGTAAATCCACTATTTCGACTGGGCCATTTCAATAGCTATGTTAGATTACCAGAGGGTACCTCAATATACCTCATCTCTTACGGGGGTATCATGGACATAGTTCATGGAAGATCAAGGTTTTCCCCGCCCATTGTTGGCGGGTGACCAACCATGGCTTTCCGTTCCATGCCTTGAAATCCCGACGTTTAACTGGGGTATAATCAACATCATTCTGGAGAAAAAAACATGTTATGGTGATACTATTGGATATAATGGGAAAGTAATAGAATATGTACAGTATGAAAACACAATATCGAGCTGCGGGGCTCTATTTTACTTGAGCCAAAATAAAGGTCGGGCTCATGCTAAACCCCTGGATCTTTACACTGCACATGAGGGTTATATATGGTATGTACATGTCTTCACTCCTCCTCTCTTGAAGAGTGATTTTATGTACACTCGCAAAGAGCTAAACTCCGGCTCTCAGTTCTTCTTCTGCTCGAGCGCTACCACGAGCTAAAAGGTAGTGGAGTCTGGCCAGGGTCTTCACTTAAGTAGATTCAGCTGGCCTTTGCTCCGATCTGTCAGATACACATACCCTGACTTTGTCATAGTCTGATGCATCTGTGTACCGGGCACAGGTTTCGTCAGAACATCTGATCGATTCTGTTTACCTGGAACATGCACAACCTTAAGGTGGTTTTCGGCTACTCGTTCTTGCAGCCATAAGTAACGGGTTTGGATATGGCGTGCTTTGCCAAGTCCAACACGGTTGACTGTACCTTTTGCGGCATTCGAGTCTGACTCGATGGTGACTGCTGCATTGATACCATAGTCAGCCAATAGGGACTGAATTCCCAGCCCGGTACTTCCACCTTTAACCAGAGCATAATACTCTGATTCACCTGTCGAAAGTGCAATGGTTGACTGCACATTCGAGCTGTGTTTCAGAACATGTTGCCCATAGAAGGCAATCATTCCTGTGGTCGATTTTCTTGTCAATGTGTCTCCTGCATGATCGCTATCGACCTGTATGACAAGTCTCTCAGGTGTCCTTTGCGCTTTGAAAACCTGAGCGAAGTCTGGGTACCTGATCAAGTATCTGATCAGTCTCTTCAAATCTGTCAAGCTAGCCTCGGTCGGCTGAACCAGCCGTCTCGCGAGGTTCTTGACTGCATGGCCAATGTCTGGCCTGTCTTGCGACAAATATGCTGCCCGCATTACTGCGGATCTAAACTCTGATGCGGCTTCCTTTGGAAGCAAGGGGCTCCTGGTCTCAAGAGCCTGCTGGTCTGCAGATTTCTTTACATCTGGACTTTCTACGCCTTTGGCGTTTGTCATGCCAAAGCTCTGAATCAGCAGGTCCACATGCCTGCGATCAGGTTCAATCCATGCTGCTGGCCTTCCTTCAATTTCGCCACACCGAATCAACCTGTTCAGGAAATGGATCTCTTTCTTGTCCTGAGGTTGGTCTCCAATGATTCCGAGACATTTCAGCTCATATGACTTGCGCAGCAAGTCTTCCAGCTCACTGAGGTGTTTCTGATCACCTAGTGCTAGGAAATCATCTCCATGTACCATCACACGGACATCGTGCTGTGGGTGGTAAAATACCGAAGCGTTGGATTTTCCACGCTTGTACCCACCTCCTATCAAAATCCCTGAGTAATGGGACTGCCATATGTTCGGTGCGTCTTGTGTTCCATACATCGACTTCTGAAGGAGTCCACACATCTTGCCTCCTTCAGCTCTTGACTCTTCGCTGGGAAGCTCTATGAATATCCTGCGCTTTGGTGTTCCATAAAAGTGTGCGCGGGATATGTCCCACAAACCAAGTTTCAGCTTTTCACCGTGGATCGACCTCTGCTTGGTCGCCCACAATGAGCACAGCAGCCTCATTGCTTCAAGAGGCGGTGTGCTTGAAAACAAAAGATTTGCAGGTAGCTGGTCTTCAGGCCGTTTTGCGGCCTTTATATCCTTGACAACCAGTCTGCTCCTGTAGTTCGGATGACTTGGGTCACCCTTGTTTGTATCAAGCCATCTGGTCTTGATCGGGGGTTTCCCTGTTTCTTCAAAACACTGTTCAATCGGTACTGGCAAGTATACTTCCTGTTTGTGAAGGTACTGCATCTCTACCGATCTGGCCTTTTCAACTTCCTCTTTTGGAAGCACTCCCCCATTAACATCATCTACATACCGCTCTTCCCACTCTGGGTCTACGGTTGGCACTTCTGGAACTGGTCCTGCACTGTATGCATCGGCGGCATTCAATTCGCCTCTCTCTTCCAGTTCTCTTTTCAAACATTTGAGCACAGCTCTTACAAGCTGCGGCGGATACTTTGCCGCTTGCTGGGCTATGCCACCAATCAAATGAATGTGGCGGTGCCACGGTGCTCCGCCTGTCTTGTTTGTGCACTCTGTTTCCAACAGTTTTGCCAATTCTGGATGGTTTGTCATCCACCCGGTTTCCTTGCGCACAAAGCCTGTCCCCTGCAGGCCTCGACGGTCTGTAGCCGTCATGCCCCACTTGCACATAGGGCCTCGCACCACATACACATCATCCCTTGATGATATGCGTTCAACTCTTTCATCTTTCCAGCTTGTTGCACCCCATGGCGCTTCATGAAGAAAATACCTACCCTGCTGGATCTGCTTTTCATACACATCACATGACGTGTGAAGGTGATGCAATGCTTCGTTCATTCTTTTCTCTCTGATCTCTGGTGGAATCTTGTTCCAACTGATCGCTTGCAACTTTGAAAATAAATGGCACGGCGGACTGCCTGTGATCAACAGGGGCTCTTCACGGTCTATCAGCTCATGAAGAAGTTCCACGTCCGCTGTCTTGTTGAGGTTCCAGTATTCACCATTTTCCTTTGTCTCACAAAGATCGACAGCGAATCCTGGCCTCAGCTTGTACTGCTGCGCCAGCGCTGTAAAACGTTTCGGTGAGTAAACCTCTGCAATGTCTGTTGCTGCCATTTCACAACTCAAACTCGCAATGTCAGCGATTTCTTGAGATGAGATTTCAATCCCATTC